AAAGGAGATAGAGAATAGTGCATGTGCCAAGCACTTTTATAAATACTATGTACCTATAAAATAAAGTGGATGAAGTACTGTACCTGCTATATCATGAATAGACTTTGAAAATGTTGTTAAGTAAAAGAAGCTAGACACAAAAGGTCACATATCGGATGATTCCATTTCATATGATTCCATCGTATGAAATCTCAGCCCAGGCAAATCTATAGAGGTAGAAAGCAGACTAGTGGTTGCAGGAGAGGAAAATGGGGATTGACCGCTGAAGGGGTAATAAAAATGTTTTAGAGCTGGATAGATGCCCAGTATTGTGAGAGTACTATATGCCCCTGACTTGTACACTTTAAAATGGTTAATAATAATTAATTTTATCTTGTGAAATTTTTGCCTCAAAAAAAAAAAAGAGGAGTGCAAGGTGAGGGGTCCTCTTATTTTATTTTATTTTTTATTTGAGATTGGTATAAGGGTACAGACAATTAGGTCATATTGTTTGCATTTATTAGATAAAGTCCAAGTTGTACTTGAGCCCTTCATCCAGGAAGTATCTGGTACACTCTTACATTATGCCCATTAGCTCACCAAACCCTCTCTTCCTCCCTCCTCCCTCACCATTTGGATGAAGTTTAATCCACAATTGCCAGGATGTGGAATCAGCCCAAGTGTCCATCAATCTGTGAATGGATTAATAAATGGTGGGGTATATATACCACGCAGTACTATTCAGCCACAAAAAAGATGGAGACTTCACATTTTTTATACTTTCCTAGATGATTTGGAGAATACCCTCCTAAGTATCATAAGAATAGAAAGTATCAAATGTAGTCAATACTAATATGAAACCAATAGATGAACAACTACACTCCCACAGGAGAGGGGTCCTCTTTTATTGAGGGTTGGGGTAAGAGACAGTTTCACTGGAGGAGATACTGGAACAGCCCTAAGGTGGGAATGAGTGCCGGGGGGGGGGGCTCTGAAGAGCCCAAGGAGGGCAGTCAGACTGGAGCAGAGTCTGCCAGAGTGAGAGCAGCAGGCGACCATGTAAGAGAGCAGCGAGAGCTGCGTGGTGGGCACTGGAGGCTTCCTCTGAGAGAGGGGAGAGCCAAGGAGGGTTCTTTGGGTTTTTTGTTTGTTTAGTTTTGTTTTTTTGAGACAGAGTCTCACTATGTCATCCTCGGTAGAGTGCTGTGGCATCACAGGTCACAGCAACCTCAAACTCCTGGCCTAAGTGATTCTCTTGCCTCAGCCTCCCAAGTAGCTGGGACTACAGGCACCTGCCACAATGACCGGTTATTTTTTGGTCGTAGTTGTCATTGTTGTTTAGTAGGCCCAGGCCGGGTTCAAACCTGCTTGCCTTGGTGTATGTGGCTGGAGCCCTACCGCTGAGCTACGGGTGCCAAGCCATGAGGGAGGGTTTTGAGCAGAGGAGGGACACGATCCGATGATCTGATATGTGTTTTAGTCAAATCACTCTGGCCGTGTGAAACATATCCTGGAGGGAGCACAAGTGAACACTAGGTGCTGGTCATGAGGCTGTTGTACTGGTCTTGGTGAGATGTGGCTCAGGCAAGGGGAGGACATTGAAGATGGTGCCAGGAGCTGGCTTTTGGAGAAGTTTGGCCAGAAAGTAGAACCACAGGATTTTCTGGGGATGAGTGAGGGTATGAGGTGGAAAGGAGCTGGCCAGAGTGTTTGTCCCAGTCGTTCTGTGCTCTCCTAACCTTGGATATTGTGGGCTGGCGTGGGGCCATCGTCAGGAAGCCACAGTGGCACCCTCCTCCAGGAGTCCCCCCCACAGCGCATCACTAGCTCTGAGGTGTCTGCTGAGCAGCAGCTCATGGAGAGTTTACAGGCAGGAGGGCATACTGCTTGCTGCACTGGCTGGTCCTATTACCAATTTTTGCATGCGTTACTTTTATCTATCATCCATCCATCCAGCTAACTAACCATTCATCTAAGCATTCATTTATTAATGTATACTTTAAAAAAATTCAGGCCAGGTGCAGTGGCTCACGCCTAGAACTCTGGAAGTCTGAGGCAGGAAGATCCCTTGAGGCCAGGAGTTTGAGACCAGCCTGAGCAAAAGCGTGAACCTATCTCTACAAAAAAAAAAAAAAAAAAAAATTGAAAATTTATAGAAAAATTAGCCAGATGTGATGGGTGCCTGTGGTCTTAGCTATATTTTAAAAAATATGGCGGTATTTTTTTTTTATTTTTGTCATAAGTATAAGCTGTGTTCCCTGTCATTAAAATTCTATTAGACAATCCTCTGTTTATAAACCTGAATTATAACGGTTGGATCAAGGATGCTGCATCCCCTTGTTGGGGACAGACAGACCAACAGGCGTCAGGCAGAGGGGGCTGTGCCAGGCTGGGCTTGGTGGGACCCTGGTCCCCTTGCGCCTTCCTGGATTTCTCTTCTGTGAGATGAGGGGGCTGATGGCACTACCCTGAAGACCACAGGGTCCTTCGCCTGTTTCCTGCCTCTGCATAACTGCTCACTAAGCACCACCTCCCACTGTTGCTACTTTTATTGTTAGCCATTTAATGGATCATAATAGGCTGTTTACAGAGTGTGTAAAAATGGCTTTTGGAGCTGGGAGTGTCAATGTTTTGCCCTCCTTCCCAATTATGTTTCTTTGAGTATGGGACACTTAACAAATGAATTTAAATGAGACTTCCCCTGTCAGTCCTGTGTTATCCCAGCGAGGCAAGGAGGAAGTATAAATTGTGTGATGGTCTAACTAGTAGTAGAGAGGTTAAAGCTTTCTTATGCTTACTAATCTTACTAATCTGTCCTTTTTAAAAAATCAAGATCCTTCGATCTGGGTGTACATAGTCTTTAAGCAGGCAGCAGATCCAACAAGACTTTAATACTAGAGCCTAATCTTTGCTGGGTTTTGTTGGTGGTGTTCTTTGTTTTTGCCTAGTAGTTTTAAAAATCAGTTCATTATATTTATGGTATAAGATTTTTGTTTTCTATCATGGCAGTGATTGAATTTATTTAATGCAATCAATATGACATAATCTAATTAAATTGAGATTTAAGAGATCATCAATTTAATAATTGAATTAATATTAAAAAGAAAGGAATCTAAAGCAGTAAACTTTTTTTTTTTTGAGACAAAGAGAGTCTCACTCTGTTGCCCTGGGTAGGGTGTCATGGCGTCATCATAGCTCATAACAACCTCAAACTCGGGCTTAAGCCATCTTCTTGCCTCAGCCTCCTGAGTACAGGCACCTGCCATGACACCTGGCTAATCTTTGTTGTTGTTGTTGTTGTTGTTGTTTCTATTTCTAAGAGATAGTGTCTTCCTCTTGCTTAGGCTGGTCTCAAACTCCTGAGCTCAAAGCAATCCACCCACCTTAGCCTCCCAGAAAGCTAAGGTTTATAGGCATGAGCTGCCGTGCCTAGCCTAAAGGAGTAATCTTGAAATGGCCATGGCCCTGAGCAAGTCGGGGAAGCCCTGTATAGAGGCAGATGACCAGTATCTTGTTTCCTTGCCCAAATTGGGGTGCAGTGGCACAATCATAGCTCACTGTAGCCTCAAACTCCTGGGTTCAAGTGATCCTCCTGCCTCAGCTTCCCAAGTAGTTGGGACTATAGGCATGGAGCACCACACATGGCTACTTTTTAAAAATTCTTTTAGAGTCAGAGTCTTGTGGTGCTGCCCAGGTGGGTCTCCAATCCCAGCCTTAAATAATCCTCCCACTTCAGCCTTCTGAAAAAGTGCTAGGATCACACACATAAGCCACTATACCCAGATAAATCCTTTTCATTAGCTCAATTCACAGAAGGGCTGGAATATGATGACCAAAGGGTCCCAGACCTCCCACCTACAACTCTATCCCCTCATGGCACTGCCCTGTTTCTTTCTCTCTCCCTGAATATTACTCCTGGAGAGAAGCTGAACTTTCTGACTCTCATGCCTCATTTCTCTTTGTTTTCCAAAGAACTTATGCATTTTAAGAGGGCTCTTTAAAGATTAGCTGGCAACTTAAGGAGGTCAGTTTCTACTTCTTGAGCACCTACTGTATGCCCTACATCTTACCAAGTTGGTCTCTTTTCATTCTCTCAACAGCCCATAGAAATGGGTGCTATTGTTATCTCCATGTTGCTCTGAGGAAATGGAGTATGGGAAGAGACACTCCTAAAGGTGCAAGGCTGCCAAGTCCAAGTCCAAGCACAGACTCAAAGCCTCATGCTTCTTCACTCTTGTGGGAATCTGGAGGGATTTAATAGTGTATTTTTTTCATTTATGTGAATAATTAAGAGCCCATGCTAAAAGGCAGTGGTGACATGATGAAGTGACATATTCATAGTGGTTGAAGGCATAAGATTAATAAAGATAAGACTTGTAGATGACAAAATCTTTCCAAGTCAAATAATACATGTCTAGTGGTGGAATTCCCCAAACAGAAAGACGCTTGTCTTTAGGTGGCAACCTTTGCCAAGACAAAGGGGTTAGATGAAGTATGTGATTGTTACCTATAATAAGCTATTTTTTCTTGAAGAACATCTGAAAGTCTTGGAACAAGGAGGCAGAGACATGCAGGTGGGAGCACTTTATGTAGGTTTTCTCACCCTGGCTGCCCAGTAACCCTGCAGAGTGGAAAATGAGCACATTTTGTAGAGGACTTACACTGAGAGAGATTGGGCAAGGTCCCAGTGCTCAGACACAGTAGAGCAGGCAGCCTACACCCAAGGGCCTACTGCTCGTCTAAATGGATCCTCAAATAGTGTAATACTGATGCAGAAAAGAAGTCTACAGACTTTGGCCTCTGCCATCTGAAACTCTGATTCCCTTTTCTGAAAAATGGGGCTGACATCACTAGCCTCCTGGGGTTGCCGTGCTGGTGAAGATCACCCCGGGAACTGTCATGTGTCACAGAGAATTGCAGTTTATGCCTTGTCCTGACTCCAGCTTTACTGGCTCTTCTCATGTTTGCCCCTGAGTCTTTGCAGGACCCTACTCTAACTTCAGTTTCCCCACTTCTTCCAGGACCAGCAGAGAACAAATGCCAAGAACTCTTGTGCAAGTGTGACCAGGAGATTGCTTACTGCTTAGCCGGAACTGAGTACAACTTAAAACTCCTCTTCTACCCCCAGTTCCTATGTGAGCAGGACTCGCCCGAGTGTGACTGACTAGCTCCATTGCACAACGTTCTTTTGCACTGGGGAATAAAGCTCCTTTTCACGAATGAACAACAGCATTCAGTTTTGTGCAGGAGGGAATGGAAGCCGAGTGATAAAGCCACAACCCTTGTGTTTGCTTTCTTTCCCCATTCTGGAACTCAGGGCTGGAGTCCATTTCATTTCCAGTTTGAGGTCAAAAGTCCTGTGCCTATTTTATAAAACCATGACTGTATTTAGGGCTGTGTTGAGTTTGGTACCACTCTTGAGGTTTGACATTTATGAAAAGTTGGTCTTTGACGTCTAGCCTTCTCCTGGGGCTGGTTATCAAATGTGAACAAACACCTACTGTGCTCCTGGCTGTGTTCCAGATCCTGGGACACAAGGAAATAAGACAGCCACACAACACCCACCCTTGTGAAGTTCTAGTCTTATAGTTGTTAGGTTAAGACATTCTACTTTCAATGGTTAAAATTTATTTCCTGTTTATAAAAGTAGTATATACTCATTGCTTTAAAAAAAGAAGAAAAATAGACAAACATGGAGCAGGAAAAAAGAAATTCTCCAATGCCCACAGTCCAGAATAACCCTTGTTAGGGTCTTAGTGTGCTTTCCAACACCTTTTTCTATAGTTTTTTGTTTGTTTGTTTTGGTTTTTTTAGAGATAGAGTCTCACTTTATTGCCCTCAGTAGAGTGCGTGGCATCACAGCTCACAGCAACCTCCAACTCCTGGGCTTGGGCGATTCTCTTGCCTCAGCAGGCGCCCACCACAACACCTGGCTAATTTTGTTGCAGTTTGGCCAGGCCTGGACTTGAACCCGCCACCCTTGGTATAGGGGGCCTTTGCCCCACCCACTGAGCTACAGGAGCCGCCTGCTTTTCTATAGTTTTAAAATTGTAGTTGAGATTACACCATATGATTTTTTTTTTAAATCATAGCTGTGTACATTAATGCAATCATGAGGTACAATGTGTTTTTACATACCATTTGAAATATTTTCATTGAACTGGTTAACATAACCTTCACCATATTTTCTTAGTTATTGTGTTAAGACTCCACACTTAGTAAATTTAACATGTACCCTTGTAAAATGCACCACAGGTGTGGTCTCACCAGTTATCTTCCCTCTACCCATCCTTCCCCTTCACTCCCTCTCCACTTTCCCCTTTTTCTTGGGCTATAGTTGGGTTATAGCTTTGTGTGATTACATATTGGTTTCATGTAGAGCCAAGTACATTGGATACTTTTTCTTCCATTCTTGAGATACTTTGCTAAGAAGAATATGTTCCAGCTCTATCCATGTAAACATGAAAGAGGTAAAGTCTCCATCTTTATTAAGGCTGCATAATATTCCATGGGAGATTACACCATACGATTTTTATAAGTTTTCTCTATGTCATTAAAGCTCTTTGGGAACTTTATTTTAAATAGATGTATTAGATACATTTTATAGAATAACTTTTGGATATTGGAGTATATCCTGTTTTTATCCATTGCTGTGATGAAGATGCTTATAAATAAATCTTTGCCATGCCCCCTATCCCAACAGCCTATTTGTTTATCATTCTTTAGCCCAGATTTGCAGAGATGGCATTTTTGGATCAGTAAGTCTGAGTATTTTAAGTAGACACTGACATCCTCTTCTGATGCATCCAAGCCTACTATGATTGCAATGATTTTTTTTTTTTTTTTTTGGTTTGAACAGACTCACTTTGTCACCCTAGGTGGAATGCCGTGGCATCATAGCTCCCAGCAACCTCAAACTCTTGAGCTTAAGCCATCTTTTTGCCTCAGTCTCCTGAGTAGTTGCAACTATAGGCACCTGCTACACCTAGCTAGTTTTTCTATTTTTAGTAGAGAGATGGTCTCGCTCTTGCTTAGATGGGTCTTAAACTCCTCCACTCAAGCAATTTACCTGCCTCAGCCTCCCAAAGTACTAGATTACAGGCATGAGCCACCACACCCAGCTGCCAGCTATGATTATTGAAAGGCAGCCCATGCCTGTCCTGTCCCTCCTGCTGGGCAGAAGTCTCAAGAGTTCAGCACAGCCTGTCTACTATCAGCCAAGTCTCCTTTGTCCTCCTTCCCTAAGAAGATCTGGCTATTACTCATCTTTGAAGCAGGATGTAGGAGCAGGTGGGGACAGATGTGGGAGGCCATAGGTGGAGGTAGGCAACACTGGCCTGGAGTCTGGCAGTCTGTGGGTAGCCCAGGCTTGGCTTTGCCAATGCCAGCCAGCACTAGCTCAGTGACCTTTGCTAGCCGGCGTCTATCTCTTCATCCAGAAAGGAAAAGAATACTGATAATCTTGCAAGGCATGAGACCAGAATGTACAAACACTGAAATATCCCCAGACCCACAGTGCCATCAGTGTCTCTGGCAGGTCATGAGTATTAAACAGGTAGTGCTAGGCAGCCCTGGGGCCTGACAAACAAACTCAAGGAGGAAGAAAAACACTCTTTTTCCTTTCTCTTCAGATGTCTCCATGGCTCAATCAGGATCTGGAATTTAAGCGTGACTAGCAGATGATAGCAGGCAATGAAGATTTATTAAGAACCGGTTTTTCTCTATAGAGACAGGTTTTATCTATATAAAAAAAAAATCTTTATTTTTATTTCCAGTAATTTTTTCAAACTTTTCAGATGCAAAGCTTGAGTAAAATCATCACTCAAAGATACAAAGGGTTAATGAATGGTTCAAGAAGTCACAAAAGAACATTTTGGATGCAAGCTCATCCCTGCAAGGCCAGACTTCAGAGAGCTGACATCTCACACCTGCTGTTATCACACTGCAAGGAAATGAAAGGCTGTAGTTCACCTCATTCCATAATTACAATCACAGCACTTGGCGTAAATTACACTTGCTGTTTTACACATCAGGACAGGACAACAAAGATGACACAGTGTGAGATCAATTGACAAAATGCTTCTTTGAACAAAAGGACTATCCTGGAATTTATTTTACAGATTAAATTCTTAAAAACAAAACAAACCCTAAAACAACAGCTTTAAGTAGCACTGAGGCAGCTCAGCCTGCTCTTGCAAATTACTAGCCTCCATGAGTGCCTCTTGTCCAACTCATCTGTGCTCAGAGAAAGGGATCCGTATTTTCAATGATTACAAAATACAAATAAAAAACACCCCAAACTCAGAGACTACAAATCTAGCCATCATTCTGTCTCAAAATGAATCCTTTTAGAGGTTTTACCCTGAAACTTGGCAACTCTTCAATGATAGACTTGATGATTGAAGTTTGGGGTTTCCTCTGTATCTTTTCTGTGAAACTGTGTATGCCTATGACAAAATTTTATTCTTGTTTTCCTAAACTTGACTTCTAGGATAGGCCTGGCCTCAAAAAGTCTGGTCTTGAGCTCTTGGAGCCTGTGTCAGTTCCTGAGGTAAGGGCAGGAGACTGCCAATGTGGCGGCTTTCTTATGTCACCTGCAGTGCATCCTTGGAGGACCCTGAGTCTTGCCAGCTGTCATGGACTAGGCCTCCCACGTCCCTACAAAGGTGGCCGGGCTGGAGGGCTGCTGCTATGTTCAAACAGACTGTCCTCTCCATGCTGGGATGTCAGGCCCCACTGCCACGATGACACAGGCAGAGCAAGAGAGGCCCTGGTTTGAGCCTCTAATATACAAAGCAGAACCTTACTTTGCTGGGGTAGAAAGGAGGACATCCTCTCCCTACCTCACCCCTCTTAAACATCAAAGATCGGACGTAAGGGAGGCTAGAAGAGTCTCTCAGAGCCTGGGCAGTGCCAGTCACAACACCTGAGTTTCCAGCCGGCGAACCTCCTTTACCACAAGATCAATGTTAATAATTGGGTTGAAGTACAGGGCCCAGTAAAATAAACAGTTGCAGACAAACTGAGGAATGAGGGGCCAGAACATGGCCACAAAAAGCCCTTGTGTTGATACTTTCCAAAAATGGCTCCACATTCTCTGAGGCACAGTCCTGAAAAAGAAGAGAGGCAAATCAGAGGCAGAATCAGGTGGCATCTCCAGTAACCCTGCCAAGCACCCAGACCCTGGCCTTTTCCCAGTGCCTTGAGTGTGGCTGTCTGTGCTACAAAGACTGTCTCTGTCCCTACTGACTGACAGTTTGGAGCCAACAACCTGACCAACTTGTCTGTGACTCCCTGGATGCAGCCTAGAGAGTATTTCCTCAGGAACTATGGCCTGGCCCCCGTGCCCTGTAGGGCCTCACTTTTAGAGACCCAGCTGCACTTACACGCACTTCAACACACATATTTTCTCTACTAGGCTATATAGGCCCCCAGAGTACTTCTTTACCAAAAGATCTGCAGTATCTAGTAGGTACAGTAAGGGCATGAATATGCCTATTCTGTACATGAGTAAATGAGTTTGCTGAATCAAAACAAATATAGTTTTTTCCCCAGGTTTTCAGAACTGTTCATAGAGCTGTGAATCACAGGATGTCAAAACAAAAGGCTGCTGGTGTGGTGGCAATGTTACCTGCCTCACCACTATCCTCTTCTAGAAACAGCTTCTAAATTTCCCTTTGGGGATTCTCCCCTCCTTATTCTTTTCCATGTGGTCTGGGTGGGGCAAAGACACTGACTGTGGGGTGAACCCTTGCCTCCAGCCTGGCCAAGGAGAGCCTGGCTTACTCTGGCATAGAGCAATGGGTTTGGGGGACATGTGACCCAGGGTGGGCCAATCAGAACAAAGGCGTGTGAGTCCTGAGAACTTCACAAGTACTATGGGGAAAGCAGTGCTTTCTTTCAAGCAGGTGTGCTAAGCTGCTCAGATGGAAGCCTACTTGGCCAAAGCCCCCATAGTAAGAGGCTGCCTGAGGCTGAACAGCAGACCACCACCAGCAACAAAGAGTCCAGCCTAATGACAGCTTTTGGGTCTCTGGGTCCAGCCATGCTGAAGCTTTGACTGGGCATTTCTTTCCCAGCCTATGTTGTTCCAACCATCTCTTACATAAAAATATACTTACTTCAGTTCACTTCTTGACCAGATTCTCCAAAAGGAGAATAATTCTAGAACTGAAAGTAACATGGCATTGACGATGAGAAACCGTGACGTCCAGTAATGGACCTCTAGCCAGTCCCAAGCAAATTCAGCAATCAGCTGGTATGGAAGGAAGGAATATTTGACAAGGAATTCTCTCCACTGCTTCCATGTGGGTTCCCTAAGATCCTTGAAAAAAAACACACAGACATAAAAAATCATGAGGACTGATTTTTATGCAAAATACAATGATCATCCCAGTGAGCTTTCCATTTAGTGAAATACACAAACACTTATAAATCCAATAACCTAAAATGAAATTTCTATCCACCATCTTATCTCATCATAATAATTAATCTTAATTTAGATAAATGTTACCATAAAAGGTTGGATTGGGATGCTTGTCACATAACTGTGGAAACTCAGAAGCAAAAATCTAAACATGAGTAATGAATAATGGGTTAGAATGAATTTAAATTAACCAGAGTTTTATTCTTCCATCACTGCATGGCTAGTTCAAACCATTTCCCAAAGTCAACATTTTAGCTATGGGAGAATGATGAGTTTGTGGGAAAATTGTACACATATACTCCCCTCGGAAAAAGTTAACTTTTTGGTAGTAGCAGTGGGAGCAGCTTTTTTTTTTTTTTTTTTTGAGACAGAGCCTCTAGCTGTCCCCTTGGGTAGAGTGCTGTGGCCTCACTGCTTACAGCAACCTCCAACTCCTGGGCTCAAGTGAGTCTCCTGCCTCAGCCTCCCAAGTAGCTGGGACCACAGGTGCCCACCACAACGCCCGGCTATTTTTTGGTTGTAGCCATCACTGTTGTTTGGCGGGCCTGGGCTGGATTCGAACCCACCACCTTAGGTGTATGTGGCTAGTGCCCAAAAAGCTGGGAGAAGCTTTTTAATTGTAGATATTAGCAGATAAAAAAAGTCTGATGAACAGGCAGAGGCTGTTGGGGTCTGTTAAATGGAAAGGTTAGGGTCTCTGTGCTCCCAGTGTGACAAGGCAAGTACCAACTGGACACTGAATAATCAGAGGAGCACCAAGCAAGATGGCTAATTAGCAGGCTTCACACTATACTCAAGGCCGAAGTCAGTTAGGCAGATACATAACTATAGCATTTAAAAGGACTTTGGAAATTTAGAAATTCCACTTTTATATTTATGGTGTGTATTCCTCTATCCTTGTGACTTTTTGATCTAAATAGGTCAGAAGGATTGGCCCCAAATGTAGCAAAACAAAGAATGTTATGCTCAAATCACCTGTTAGACACAGAGAAGTCACCGCAGTGAATGCAGTCCACCTAAATCCATGGGTCAAACTGAAGACATGTGTCCACAGTGGATACCACCCTGAGAGTGTCCCCTGTGAGCTAGTGGTGATTACCATCAGAGAGCTGCATGATGGCTTGCCACTCTTAGGCCATCAACATGGGCACTCACTATGCCCTATGGGTCTGGATAGGCACTCACCCTGCTTTGTGGCAGGACAAGCAATCTTCTTTGGGAGTCCTGTGAAGGGACATTTTACCCAAGTGGAAGGCTCATAAATCTAGTCCTGTAGGACAATCAGGATCTACCTTATTTTATTTAAAAAAAAAAAAAAAGCATGTTTGTTTTAATATTTCAAATCCAGAGGGCAGCCCCTCTTGCTAAGTAATGTAGGAAATAATATGGGCTTCTAGGAGTGGAAAAGGTCATTCTTTCTTTTCTTCTGCAGGGGGCTCTCTCTGCAAAATTCAAAGGCTGGCTGTTGTCTCTTCCTCCGTGACAGGCTATAGCCACATCTCTAATTCCATACATACTGCACTGAGAGATGGGAGAATAATTCTATTCATGGCACTCCATAGACCTACCAGAAGCTTGGCGATGATGTCTTCCCCAGAACCATTTTCCTGCAGAGGACAGATGGTGTGGATGAAGGGCAAGAAGGTATCTGTGTAGTCAAACAGGTACAGATACAGCAAACCAAGCCGGGGGGAGCTCTTGAGGGCGTACAGCAAGAACAGGGATCTCCCTGGGTTCACGGCCTACAGAGGACAAGGCGAGCACAGGGACATGTTACAGCTCCCTACCCATGCTCCTTCTGTAAGGGTTAACAAGAATTCTAACGAGAATTCTAATCTCCTGCAAGAGGAAGTGCTTCAAGGAAACCATAAATAAGACCAGAGACAGTAAAAGCTAGTCTTTTATCATTATTCCTACATCCGCATAGCCCCCTGCCCTCCTATGTATTTCAACCTATCCTGTACTTAAAGCTACATTCCTTACCTTATTTAGTTATACTGTGATATATTGCCCCTCCCCATCAACTAACCCTATATAATTTGTGTTTTTCCCTAAAATAAACAGCTTCGGCTCAGTCCCTTCCCCAGTGTGTCTGTCTTTGTTTTGTTTGTCTTCCCCTTTCATACGACTCCCCAAACGGCCGGCTCCCCAAACGGCCGGCCGCTGCCCGCTGGTCGGAGGCGGCACCTTCTATACTCAAACTCTTTACCATTAGCCTTTTTGCATGGTGTGCGTGAATGAATAACAAGAAGCCAAGTAATTCTTATGCTGGGCTATGTTCTACAAAGATCCGATCTCTATCCTTTGCTGGGGGAAGGGTGAACAGCATGCTTCTGGGCCCTTCTTCTAGAACACACCTTTTGGAAAAGCAATTTTGTAAAATGTGTCAAAGAATCTTTTTTTCTTTTTGGAGACAGTGTCTCCTACTGTCATCCAGGCTGGAGTGCAACGGTATCATCATAGCTCACTGCAACCTCAAACTCCTGAGCTCAAATATCTTCCTGCCTCCGTCCCCCAAATAACTGGGACTACATATGCAAGCAACCACACCCAGCTAATTTTTCTATTTTTGTAGAGATGAGGTTTTACTACATTGCCCAGGCTGATCTTGAACTCCTGGCCTTAAGCCATCCTTCTACCTTGGCCTCTCAAAGTGCTGGGATTATAATGAACCCCAGAGAGTCTTAAATATGTTGAATTTGACCAATCTATAAGTATCACTTAATACAAATACAGTAGAACCTCTATAGTTCACCATTTCCCTATACTGACAACCTCCTTAAGTTGACCTAATTTTCATAGACCAGAATACACCACATGTATGTATCAGTATACTAGGCCTTGTTCCTTTTGTTGCCCACCTCCATATGCTGACCAGTTTGTTACAGTCCCTTGGGTGGTCAACTTACAGAGGTTCTACTGTACTGTGAAATACAGAGGCTTTATTTATAAGATGTTTAGTGTTGCATTGTGCATAATAGTGAAAAACAGTAAAATCCATGGCCTAAGTAAATAAATTATAGTAGATACTAAACACGAATCCACATAGCCAGTTTTATTTTCTTTACTTTTATAAAATCTTTCAAATTTTACCACAATGGCTTGGCGCCTGTAGCTCAGTGGCTAAGGTGCCAGCCACATACACTGGAGCTGGCAGGTTTGAACCCAGCCCGGGCCTGCCAAACAACAATGACAACTACAACCAAAAAATAGCCAGGCATTGTGGCAGGCACTTGTAGTCCCAGCTACTTGGGAGGCTGAGGTAATAGGATCACTTAAGCCCAAGAGTTTGAGGTTGCTATGAGCTGTGATGTCACAGCACTCTACGGATGGTAATATAGTGAAACTCTGTCTCAAAAAAAAAGAAAAATCCAATTTTACCACAATGAATGTTTTTTCCTAATAAAGTAACTTTAAAAATGATTCAATTTAGTTGATGTTCAGTAGCATCAAATAAAATAGGCACTTCACCACAGAAGGTATAAAGTATGGCAAAGAAGGCCATGAAAAGATGCTCAATGTCATTAGTCCTTAGAGAAATGCAAATTAAAACAACAGTGGCGATCACTGCACTGGGGGGAGGGTGGAGAAGGGGGAGTGACAGATGTGTTTATCTTGATTGTGGTAATGGTTTCACAGGTGTGTAGGTGTGTGAAAACTTATCAAATCACACACTTTAAATACCTGTATGTCAATTTTACTTCAATAAAACTGTTAAACCATTCAATTAATTTGATGCTATTAATGGCTTACTATTATATTTTTTAAAAGTGTGATGGTGACTACATCTTTAAAAAGATTCTCTTTATAAATTCACACTAAAGTACTCAGGGATGAAATAATGCAATGTGCGGATATGCTTTAATATAGCCTCTAACTGGGATGCAAGGGGTGGGTGGAGTGGTACAAATGAATTAAGGATCCATTGACTTATAATCACTGAAGATATGAATATATTTGCCTTTCTATGTATCTGAATTTATTTTATTTACTTATTTTTTTTGAGACAGAGTCTCACTATGTTGCCCTGGGGAGAGTGCCATGGCATCACAGCTCAGCTCACAGCAACCTCCAACTCTTGATTCTCTTGCCTTAGCCTCCCAAGTAGCTGGGAGACTACAGGCACCCACCACAACACCCAGCTATTTTTTGGTTGTAGTTGTCATTGTTGTTTGGCAGGCCTGGGCTAGATTCAAACCTGCCAGCTCTGGTGTATGTGGCTGGCACCCTTAGCTGCTAAGTTACAGGTGCCATGCCTATATATCTGAAATTTTCTATAGTGAAAGACTTTTCAGAAAGATCCAACTTATGAAATGGCTGATTCTAGGTCCAGGGCAGAAAAGGTACAAGAATAACTTGAATATCCTGACACATGAGAAAGAAAACTATCAAAGATTGATGAGGTCACATCAAAAGGACTCACTAGCAAGTATATGATACCTCAATTCAAAAGTTACAATTTTTAAAAACTGAACTCAGAAAATAATGTGAGAAGGCTCATACTCAGAAAAAGGCAATTTGAGCATCAGTAAGTAAAATAATGAAAACTTACTGAAACACATCAAGAATGTTAAAGTCTTCAAGTTAATAATCCTAAAGAAAGAAAGTGGCCACCTTCAGAAGATAATGGGGACCATGTCATTATCCTGAAACTGATAAATAAAGGGAAAGAAAGGAGCGATCAACCTGCCTTTCTAGCACAAACTGTGAGCAGGGTAATGACATGGTTGATGAGGGAAGAGTTCCTGTTTCTAAGATCTATTTCAGCTAATAAATAGAGAGTATTACAATATCATCATTTTGGAGCCCCTAATGAGCTAATGGATTTAAACAATCAATGATCACAGTACCTGCTGTCCAAAGAAAGAGAGACCACTGGACATTATGAGCCCCTTAGTGGAAGAAAACACCAGCACCTATGACATAGTCTTGCCAAAACATCAAGCTTGAACCAAAGCAAGTCTCTAGATCCAACTTCTGGATTTCTGGAGATAAAAGGGACAAAAGGACTGCTAGGTGATACCTCAGAGCCAACAGCAAAATTCCAAAATGTGGAAAATTCTATAGTACAAAATGATCTGGTTTCTTCAACAAATATATTTGGGAGCTGGGAGTGATAGCTATAATCCTAGCACTCTGGGAGGACAAAGCAGATGGCTCATCTGCGCTCAGGAGTTTGAGACCAGTCTGGGCAAGAGTGAGACTCCATCTCTATTAAAAATAGAAAAACTCACCAGATGTTGTGGCAGGTACCTATACTCCCAGCTACTCAGGAGGCTGAGGCAAGGGGATCTCTTGAGCCCAAGAGTTTGGGGTTGTGGTAAGCTATAATGCTACAGCACTCTACCCAGGGCATAGTAAGACTTTAGCTTAAAAAAATAAAAAAATAAATGAATAAGAAAATAAATCAATAAATGTGGGGTAACAAAAAAAAGGGGAGGGAGAATTCATAAACTAAGAGACTTAAGAGACCTAACAGCCAAATGCAGACCTTGCTTAAATCCTGATTGCAATAAACCAACTGTTAAAAAAAGGGGGGAAACTAGGGCAGTGCCTATGGCTCAGTGGGTAGGGCACCAATGCCATATACCGAAGGTGGCGGGTTGAAACCCAGCCCCGGTAGTCCCAGCTACTCAGGAGGCTAAGGCAGAGAATCACCTAAGCCCCAAAGCTGGACATTCCTGTGAGCTGTGACACCACAGCACACCAAGGACGATAAAGTGAGACTCTGTCTCTAGGGGAAAAAAAAGTGGGAAATTGTAAAACTGACAAGTTATTAGATAACATCAGAGAATTGTTTTTAATGGGGGAGGAGTACAATGATGATATTTAAAAGTCTTTACTTTTGCTCTTTCTATGCCTAGCACAGTCATGACTCATGGTCTCAAGAAGCATCTGCGGTGGGTAGCATCTCTAAAACATTGGATGCTGGATAAATTGACTGGCTTGTTTGCTCCTCATCCATCCACTGGTCTCTACAAGCTGACAGAGTGTCTTCCACTTATCATTTTCCTAAGGAACAGGCTTAAGTGTGCCCTGACAGGAGATGAAGTAAAGAAGACTTGCATGAAGCAGTTCATTAAGATTGATGGCAAGGGGTGGCACCTGTGGCTCAAAGGAGTAGGGCGCCAGCCCCATATGCCGGAGATGGTGGGTTCAAACCCAGCCCCAGCCAAAAAAAAACTGCAAAAAAAAAAAAAAAGATTGATGGCAAGGTCAGAACTGATATAACCTATCCTGCTGGTTTATGGATGTCATCAGCATTGACAAGACTGGAGAGAATTTCCATCTGATTTATGACATGAAGGGTCGCTTTGCTGTTCATTGTATTATACCTGAAGAGGTGAAGTACAGGTTGTGCCAAGTGAGAAAAATCTTTGTGGGCACAAAAGGGACCCCCTCATCTAGTAACCCAGAATGCTCGTACCACCCGCTGTCCTGATCCCCTCATCAAAGTGAAGGACACCATTCAGATTGATTTGGAGACTGGCAAGATTACTGATATCATCAAGTTTGACACGGGTATCCTGTGTATGGTGACTGGAGATGCTGACCTGGGAAGAACTGGTGTGATCACCAACAGAGAAAGATACTGGGTCTTTTGATGTAGTTCATGTGAAAGATGCCAATGGCAACAGCTTTGCGACTCGGTTCTCCAACATTTTTGTTATTGAAAAAGGCAACAAGCCACGGATTTCTCTTCCCCAAGGAAAAGGTATCTGCCTCACCATTGCTGAAAAGAGGGATGAGAGACTAGTGGCCAAACAGAGCAGTGGGTGAATGGTCTTCACACCTGGTGGCATGTTAAAAAAGGGTCTTTGCGCTTAATTAAACAAAAGACAGCATGAAAAAAATTCTTCACTTTTTAAGCTGGGTGCAGTTGTGTGCACCTGCAGTCCCAGCTAATTGAGAGGCTGAGGCAAGAGGGTCACTTGAGCCCTAGAGTTTGAGATACCACCTGGGCAACATAATGATACTCCACATAAAAAAGAAAAAAATCTTTACTTTTTAAGACATATATGTTGAAATATTTACCTATGAAAAGTATGGTAGCTCAAATTTTCAAAGTAATCATGGGTGAGAATAGATGGGAGAATTAATGAAAGTAAATGTGGCTCCGAGTTGCTGTTGCTTATATGGGTAGATGGCAGTTTTGTACTAAAGGAACACAGGTCCCAGAAACAAAGCCTGATTGTGTTTAACCAGATCATGGTAAGTGTAAGAGAAAGGGAGATGACCAGGTCACATGTTTGTAGGGCTGGTGTCAGTGAACCAAAACAATCCAACTTTTGGCTACTCCCCATCAGATAAAGAGGAAAAAATCAACTACCGAGTGAGGTGACTGTGATGACAGCACTACAGAGGGAGCTGTCCCCTTCGTGGTGGTGAGAGCACTGGCATTAAGGAAGACTTGAGCAGGGACACAGGAGTCTCAGCCACTGTCAAGTGCTGCCCTTGGGGCAGGGCTGGGGAGCAGGGAAGAACTACAGGAGCTGACTAGGGAGCTGATAAGATTCTGCTCATATTCCCATTTGTTCTGGTTAATATTAAAGATTATTAGATGACTTGTACATATTTTAATCAGAGTAATGACTGAGAAATGTTCTGTCAGATTTTTTTTTTTAAGAGACAAGTTCTTGCTATGTTACCCAGGTTGGATTTAACTCCTGGCCTCAAGTGATCCTTCTTGCCTCAGCCTCTCCTCCTGCCCAAGCCTCTCAAGTAGTCAGGACTACAGGAATGTGCCACTGCACCTGGCCATGTTCTGTCAGATATTAAAAGCCACCAAAGGACTAATACTGGCTATAAAAAGTCTAGCATATTAACAAAACTAATAAGTTATGATTTAAAAAGTAGGAACTTTTTTTTTTTTTTTGAGACAGAGCCTCAAGCTGTCCCCCTGGGTAGAGAGCTATGGCTTCACTGCTCACAGCAACCTCCAACTCCTGGGCTCAAGTGAGTCTCCTGCCTCAGCCTCCCAAGTAGCTGGGACCACAGGCGCCCGCCACAACACCCGGCTATGTTTTTTTTTTTTGGTTTGCAGCCATTATTGTTGTTTGGCGGGCCCGGGCTGAATTCAAACCCACCATCTTAGGTGTGTGTGGCTGGCGCCTTAGCCACTTGAGCCATAGGCACCGAGCCAAAAGTAGGAACTTTAAAAAAAAAAAATAACCCCCCAAAGCAGCAAATCTACCTCCATACCCCTTGCTTAAAAAATTTGAACTAGTTTTTAAAGTAATATCTGTACATCATAAACAAATATTTTTTCAAACAGCCCAGAGCTGTATTAATTGACAAATAAAATTCTCCCTGAAAGTCTCATCCCCTGGATCAAACCACTGGTAACACTTCATGTATCCTTCCGGAAGTTTTCTATGCATATGCAAATATATAGATACACACAAATTTATGCTTTCTAATATGACTGTCTTTATTTTTAGTTACCAACACATTCTGGGGATACTTCCTATGAGCACACAGCGACCCCTTCCTTTCTCAGGGGTTGCCTATGTGAGTGTGCCTTATTGATTTAACCTGTCCCTAAACATGGACATTTAGGTGGTTTTCCATATACTATTACCAACAGCACTGCAGTGAACGACCTGAATCAAACATCCACTTCTCCTAAGGAGCCCCTGAAGTCATTACTAAGGAGGAAATGGGCATGAAAGGGCCCGGGTGCTTGCTGGTGTTCCCACAGGCAGTGTGTCGTGGAGGAGCCCAGGCAGATGGAGCCAGAGCCTGTCCATGACCAAGACACTATGCTGCCTCTGCTCTAAGTGCAAAGGAGTGAAGGCCAAAGTGTTAACATTTAACATTATTGACAAATTGCTCTCCAGTGAGACTGTAGCAACTCAAGATTCCCAAAACACACCAGTGCCTCTTCCCTCCTGTTATTAAATGTCTCATCCTTGACAATAGCATACGTGAAAAAAATGTCTTCTGGTTGTGTTAGTTTACATTTCTTTAATTATGAATGAGCATTTCCCCCCATAAGTTTATTACTTATTTGTATTTATTTTTCTCCATGACATCTTTTTTAGGGCACAAGCCTGTGCATTCCAGATATCCTATAACTAATAAAAACATAGTATTTGCTTTTGGTTTACATTAAAATAATCATTAAATACTCTGTGAAGGAGAACCAGCTGATACAGTCACATGAAGATCAATTTTTCAGTATGAAGTAAGGCTGAAGATACACATTACTTGTATTACTTCATAATTCTAGTTTTCAGTATATACTATCAAGAAACTCATATATATGAGCATAAGACCTTCCCAAGAATGTTCACAGCAACACTATAATAGCAAAAGTGGAAGCCCCCTCAGTAGTAAAACGCATAAAGTATCATATCCTCATGCAATGGAATATTGCATGCCAGGGCCATAGATAAAAACTGCCTGCATTCAGAAGGACAGGTTCAGTTCATTCAGGCTTCTTACAGTAAAGCTAAGAGCCTATACAACAATGCTCCCGTTGCTTGTGGACACACACCCACAGTACAAGTAGGAAAACATCCAGGAACAGAGCATAGCACTGGGTGCAGGATCACAGTTACCTTTGGAGAGGGATGTATGCTCAAGGGTTTCAATTCTATCTGTGATGTTTTCTTTCTTAAGTTAAGCAGTAGCCATGCAGGTGACTGCTATGCTGTTCTCAATACTTTTTTCAATTAAAAAAAATAAAGAGTTTACCTTATATTCCCAGAGATTCTGTGGGGGCTTCACACCTAGTGCTTTAACACGTTCTAGTTCCATGAGGATAGCTTTTCTGTGGCTGCTGTTTTCTATAGTATATGGTGCCCTTGAAAATTCTTCCTCTGTCAATGTTAAAAGCAATCTGTGGAGGGGTAGGGATGGGAGGAGATTTCTTCTGAGATCATGGGAAGCAAACTTTCCACATTCGGAGTTCTAGCTTATATATCAACATCACCACTTTAGGTTTGAAGTAAGGTGAGGCATTTAGTATGTGCAACAATATTAAAAACAGCAAATACCTGAATGCTTACTATTTGCCAATGACTGTATGAAAACGCTTTCATAAGTCACCCCTGATTTATTTAACAGTTCTACAGGGTAGGTGGCATTGTGCCCTTTTGCAGGTCAGAAAACTGGCTTAGAGAAATGAGCCCAAGGCACACCCAGGTCTGTTTTGTTCTTAAGCCTTTCATCTTTCAATTATACACTTTGACCTCTCACATATTATTCTATTTTTAAGTGTGTATATAGAGAAGAAAATCAAATAAAACATTACAACATTAAGAGTAGTTATTTTTGGCTCGGCGCCTATAGCTCAACCAGCTAAGGCGCCAGCCACGTACACCTAAGGTGGCGGGTTCGAATCCCCAGCCTGGACCTGCCAAACAACAATGACGGCTGCAACCAAAAAATAGCCGGGCGTTGTGGCGGGCGCCTGTGGTCCCAGCTACTTGGGAGGCGGAGGCAGGAGACTCGCTTGAGCCCAGGAGTTGGAGGTTGCTGTGAGCTGTAATGCCATGGCACTCTACCCAGGGGGACAGCTTGAGGCTCTGTCTCAAAAAAAAAAAAAAAAAAAAGAGTAGTTATTTTTGAACAGGAGTAGTGGCCTACACCTGTAATCCTAGCACTCTAGGAGGCTGATGTGGGAGGATCCCTTGAGCTCCAAAGTTTGAGACCAGCCTGAGCAGCAGTGAGACTCCAATCTCTACTAAAAATAGAAAAAAATTAGCTGGGTGTTGTAGCGAGCATGCGTAGTCCCAGCCCCTGGGGAGCGTAAGGCAGGAGGATAACTTGAGCCCAGGAGTTTGAGGTTGCTGTGTGCTAGCTAGGCTGATGTCACAGCCTCTAGCCTGGGCAACAAAGTGATATTCTGTTTCAAAAAGCAAAAGTTTAAAAAAAACCAAAACACATTCCCAAAGAGCAGTTATCTGAGGATACTAAGTTAATTTAATAAAATTGCTGGAGACCCATTATTTGTTTTCCTCATCAGAAACATGAATCCATCTCCACAGTGATTTGCCATTAAAAACACATTGTACATGGCAAAAGAGAGATTGGTAGGTACATGCAGCCACTGGGTGGACAAGTATAAATGGATGGTACTGTGGATAATTTGGTAATATTTATTCAAGGTATACAGACTTATTCCTTTTGACTCAGCAATTCCAGTTTTAGGAATTTATTCTCTAGAAGACAGGCAAAAATACATTATAATGAAGTAGAGAATTTTTGTATCAGAATTCTGGGAGGGGAATTTCTATTAAAAAACATTATTAAAAAACAAACATTGTTAAAGTGGGAACATTTCTCTTCCTCAAAGGAGGAGAGTCAAGTGGTGAAAGCTCAGTAGAGGAGAAAAAGTGATTGGGGTGGGAAGGGTGGCAGCTGGGCAGGCCAGCAGTGAATGGGCTATGTGTCTCAAATGAACCTGAGAGCTGCTGCTCTCGTCACTATGTGGTATCCTATGTAACACTGACTGTGGGTGGATGTATAAATAAATATATGTCTACAGCTATACATACAAATAAGTCTGTTTAGCACAATAGTATTTTCAGTTTAAATTAAAAATGATACACTCATATATTTATGTCTGCATAAATGTTGAAAAAATCTGGAAAGATATCTAGCAAGATGATCACAGTGATTTTTTTCTAAAGAATAGGATTATAAGGGCATGTCACTTTTAATACCATACAGTTACCCATTATTTTTTTAAATGTTAATTTTATAATTGGAAGGCAAGAAAGAAATTAAAATGTCACTGACATAGCTGCTATGTAAAAGTAATCATACAGTTAATCATACAGTCAAAATAAGAGTTACCATATAACCCACCCATTCCACTCCAAGACAGTACTGAGCATATATACCCATGCAAAAACTTGCACACAGGTGATCCTAGCAGTGTTACTCATCATAGCCAAAAAGTGCAATCTACCCAAATGTCCACCAGCTGATGAAGGATAAATAAAATACAGTCTATGCATACAGCAGAATATGATTCAGTCATAAAAAGCGATTAAGTACTGATACATGCAACACTATGGGTGAGCTTTGAAAAAACCGTGCAGAGTGAAAAAGACAGAAAAGGCCACATATTGTATTCCATTTAAATGAAATGTCCAGAGCAGGCAAATCCATAAAGACAGAAAGGAGAATAGTGTTTTCTGGGGGAGGGGTGAAATGAAGATTGACTACTAAAGGCTAATGCCTTTTCCAGGGGTGATGAAAATGTTCTAAAACTAGATTGTGGTGATGACTGCACATTATTTGTGAATATATTAAAAAACACTTCAAATGGGTGAATTTTATCATATGTGGATTATATCTCAATATAGCTGTTTTTTTTCTTTTTTTTTCTTTTTGAGACAGAGCCTCACTCTGTTACCCTGGGTAAAATGCCATGATGTTATGGCTCACAGCAAGTTCAAACTTAGGCTCAAGAGATCCTCCTGCCTCAGCCTCCCGAGTAGCTGGGACTACAGGTGATACCACAACACCCAGCTATTTTTTCTATTTTTAGTAAAGATGGGGGGTCTCACTTTTGTTCAGGCTGGTCTCAAACTCCTTAGTTCAGGCAATCCACTCACCTTAGCCTCCCAGAGTGCTAAGATTACAGGTGTGGGCCTCACTATAGCTGTTTTTACAGCTACACTTGGGCTCAATATAGCTGTTTTTAACAATGTCCATGGGGTATTATCAGAAGACTTTGCTTCTCACCTTCCATTTACTCTTTCAGATAAAAATCTGTCCCTGTAGAGAGAAGCCCAAGGACCCAGCTGCTCCAGCCAGAGGACAACTTCTTCTGCTGTCCATTTGCCCACAGCCTTGTGGACCAGGAGGTCATGCTCAGATTCTCTGCTGCTCCAATGATACACAAGCAGGACCACCTGGGAAAAGTGACAGGGACCTTAAAACATGGAGAGGTCAGAGAAGCCAGTTTCTAAATATGCTAGTGTGGCCAGGGAAGGGAAAAGGCCAAGCTCAAAGGGAATGATGCTGAGTATGTATGTCTATAGGTAGAAACAGGGCAATGCTACTGCCACAGAGAACCAGGGAACACAACCGTCCTCAGCACACCTCTCTGCTGACTGCTGGGTGGTGAGGGAAGAGGCCAGAATAGGACTCAATGGCAGGCTACCGGATAACATCTGCACCCTTAACTCTATCAACTTGGTTAACTGATATATGTGGTGCTTTTTCTATTGGAAAAACATTTAGATTTTTGTAGCATATAACATAAAAAAAAAAAAATACCCTCTACATTAGAAATCAGTAAAGCAATGCATACTTAAGATGAAATCATCAAGGCAGACATGATCTTACATTCCAGTCCTATCACCGTTCTGCATCTGTTTCCTTAGCTTTATAGGAATAATAACAATGATGCCTGCTCCCAAGGATAGGAAGACAATTGAGCAGGTTAAAGGTAGGTGCTAACAATTGTGTGGTCTACTTGAGTAAGCAACACTCCTGAAGAAATCACACAGCCCCACAGATTCCCATGAATGCAGTGAAGTGCATGGAGTTACAGCATCAGTTGTTTAAGTGACTTTTACAGAAATGACTACAGTGAAAATGAAGCTTCAGAGGCAAGGGGTCGGGGTGGGGTGGGGGTGCAGAGAAACAGCGATAGACTTACTGCCACACCAGTTAAAGCTGTGAGCACTCCAGAAAAGAACCCCCCTCCTCTCTGCTGATTCACTCGGCCTGTGTTGGGAGCTAAAGGAATCTGATCGTTCCCATATTTTTGAAAGGCTGAAAGACTTTGGACTATGTCATTATTCTGCTCAATATCTTCAAATCTCATTCTAATGGCATCAGGAAATAACTTTTCAATGGCATCCCTATGGAGAACAGAGAAAAACAATCACAAGACAGTTATTTGACTGAATATAATGTATAGAGGTCAAAATAAAACTAAGAGTCAACATTTACTGGTATCCAGGCACCCTGTATACACCCTACATCTACCCTGCTATACATGTGAATTGAGAAGACCATCAGTTACAGTCCTGTTGGTAAAATTAAAAAAATTAGAACCATGAGATATGTCCACCAATAGGGAAAGAGTTAAATAAAATATATTAATTCAATGGTGTACTATCTAGTTTTCAATGAATTTACTGGATCAGTATGTGTCAGGATAGATCAATTTAACATATACATATTATTGAATGAAAATATTAATAGTAGGGTACAAGTGAATCTTTCTAAAAGTAGAATATAAACGTCTTAACACAATAACTAAGAAAATGACATAAAGGCTATGTTAACCAGTTTGATGAAAATATTTCAAATTGTATATGAAAACACCACACTGTACCCCATGATTGCATTAATGTACACAACTATCATTTAATTAAAAAAAAAGTTTACAATAAAAAAAATATTAATAGTAAACTACAGAACTATACAATAGTACACTACTAATTAAAAAATACTTGCATTTTCTACTGGCACATATATGTTTTAAAGTAGCGGTTCTCAACCTGTGTGTTGTGACCCTTCTGGATTGTATTAAAGGTTCACGGCATTTAAAGTTGAGAACCACTGTTTTAAAGTATTTTTTTTTTAAACTTACAGAGATGACAGTTTAGTTATAAGTGAAGTTACTGTGGGGAAAAGGAAGGAAGGAAAGATTCCAACACACAGAAGGAGGGATCAAAGGCTGCTTTATCAGTGATGTTCCAATATTTTACAAAGAATATAAACAATGAATATATATGTATTACTTATTAAAATCAGTTCATAAAATAGGGGAGAAAGGCAAAATTCAGTAGGAAGAGAAAGCCAACCATCAGGTTATAACTGTAGGGCTCTTTACGCCATGAATTATACATAGAGAACCCTCCTTCAATTTAAGATTAAGTTTCAGGTAAAGCAAGCCGGACAGGTAAGAGCAAACTGTATATACACCTCCAGTGAAAGACAATGTTGGGTTAATGGTTTCATGGAACTTTCTGAAATTCTGCAGATAGCAAGAAGGCTGCACACATTGCTAAGGCAACAGAAGAGGGGACAAGGATTTATGTCTCAAAGACCTTATAGGCACATATGACCACTTGGAAGCAGAAAAAATCTGGCCATTTGAAAGGTAGTCTTCTGTATATGATGCTATGCATGAGAACTATTGATGTGATAACTGGAACAAAGTTTATAAAAAGATAATGAAATCAGAATTACAGTTATAGCATTTTCTCTAATAGATGTAAGGTGTTCTCAGAAATACAAATCAGTAAAAAGTATTATATGACATAGGATTACAAGCAATGGTCTGGTAACAAAATTGGTTTCTTTACTTATAATAAACAAATTATGGACTGGGCCCTGGGGCTCACGCCTGTAATTCTAACACTTTGGAAGGCTGAGGTGGGAGGATCATAAGAGGTCAGAAGTTGAAGACCAGACTGAGCAAGAGCAATACCCCATCTCTACAAAAAATAGAAAAATTAGCCAGGTGTGGAAGTGGGTGCCTGTAGTCCCAGCTATTCGGGAGGCTGAGGCAAGAGGATCTCTTAAGCCCTGGAGTTCGGGGTCACTGTGAGCTGTAATCAAGCCACAGCACTCTACCCAGGCAAGCGAGATCTTATCTCAACAACAAACAATAACAAAAACACACCAAAACAAAACAAAACAAAAAACAACGAATTATGGTTACCAATGAGGGAGTCTGGATTTTCAGGTCCTTGAGCCCCTGACTCATATGTGAGCAGATGGAGAGTGACCACCTAGTAGGTGAGCCCCAAATCTCCAGCCTTTTCTCAACCTGATGCTTCCATTGCAAGAGAATACATTATAACCCATGTGGGCTGAGCATTACCTGAGGAGAATATTGACCTTGGGGAAACCTTCCCACTTTTCTCTGCATTCTGGACACTCTGTTTTCTTTGAAGACACCCACCATAAAGCTAGGCAGTGCCGGCAGAAGCTGTGGCCACAATTCAAGGTGGTAGGGTTAACCAGGATGTCATAGCAGCAGTGGCAAGAAAATTCACTGACAGAAATCTGAGGGCTGGTGCTTTTGAGAGCATCCTCTTTCTCAAGGCCCATTGTTTTCAGATCATTCTTTTGAGGCTCCTCCATCTCTTAGCAAATTCTGGGATCCACAGACACAGAAAATTGTAGACTTAGAAAAGTACTGCAAAGCATCATTAATCTAGAAACAAAAAAGCAACAGAATCAATTGTAGCAGTATGAAGAGAAGAGCAGTTAGCACAATACCACAATTCTATCAAAACTCTAATCTTTAAATGTGACAAATTGATTTATAAAAATCTATAGTCCATAAACTTAGTAATCATCATTGAATTCCCTTCTGGCCTGTTTGCTACACTTTTCACATTTAGTAAAGCAAAATGGTGTAGTAGAAATTTCAATAAATTTGGGGTTTGGGACAAAGAATTCTGGATCCTTACCTTTCACTAACTTCTTTGAAATTTCTCTGGTCTAATTGTTCTCAATTAAGTTTCCAAAATCCTTTCTAAATGTGTTTTAAAATAAACCAGCTTCTTGGCAAGGTAAAATGTCTGGGGTTGACAACAACAGATGTTCTTCATGTAAATAACTCATTTGGGTCCATATAAGTAGTTGCCATTAGGGAATTTGATATCAGAGGCTCTAACAGAAATAATTCCAAGTGAGTGAAGCCTTGTTTTCTGGTGCCCTGTGCCAGGCCAGCTCCCCCATGCCTCAATACACTCTTTCCCCCAAAACCAACCCAAACATGCACATCATGTCCTTTGGATCTGGCCAGTTTGGTGCCACAGAAACATGCTAATGTCATCAATGCTTGGTATGCAAGTGACAAAGAACCAGATTCTTATCATTCTTACTGTGGTCTGAGGTAGATTTTTTAGATCGAGAAGCACTGTGACAGAGACCTTGGAATTAGAATCACAGCTCCCCAACTCAGTAACTGTACAACTGTGTAGCAGTTACTTGATCTCTGCTCCTGGTTTTCCCTACTGTGAAACAGTAACAGTACTTAAATCTTAAAGGCTTCTTGTGAGGATTAGAGATAGTGACAGGAAGTGGCTATGATGGTGAATGGCACAAATAGAGGCCAAGAAATGATTATTCCTACTATATCTGGTGTTATGCTCACAGTTTCCCAATCTCACTGCTGTGAAGGTTTCAGAGGTTATGAGATCAGCGAGTGGGCTTGCAGATATCTCATCATGAAGGATGAACAAGCTGGAAGTACGGAGAACAACTAGAGACATTAGAAATGAGGTGTTACTACTTTTGGGACTAAGGTGGCAAAAATGAAAATGTGAAGAAAGGGATAAATCTGAGCGATTGTAAGGAAATAATTTAATGAGTAGAGAGAAAGAATGACCAAAGATGTGGGCTAAGTTTCAGACAAGAGGAAAAGCTGTACTCCTGATAGAAACCAGGTTATCGTAAACAAATGTTGAATTTTAGAAATGTTAGGTTTGAGGGAGTAAGAATTCCAAGTAGAAATGTCTAGTCAGCAGCTGAAGACACAAAACTGTGGTTGGGAATAAGAATGTGGCTACATGTATGGATTTCAAAATCATTATAGAAAATTACAAATAATATATTGAAATTAATTTTTCACAAATTAGCCATTTAAAAATGAGACTACACCAGCAGTTCCTTGCCTACCAGCTCTGCAAGTTTATTTCTCATGAGAAAAAACAAATCACACGCTAAAGCTGAAGGACTATTTTGTAACGCCGAGGTGCCCATTGAGTTTGTTTTGGAACTACCTTTAACAAATTAGACAATGCATGGATTTTGATAACTTCATTGGAGTTTTGCTTGTTTCATTTTACCCCAACTTCAAAAACTGTAAGCTAACAGAGAAAGAGAACACATTCTTAAACAAATTAAATGGGTCATTTCTGTTATTTCTCTATCTATTTGGGTTACTTCCACTAATTAAAGGAAGCAGTACTCCTGGAGAAGGAAAGTGCATCTCAGAGGATCAAATCTAGTTCTGACACTAACATTACCAGCTGTGGTGTTGGGATTTGTGTGAACATGTCCTCTGATGCTGGCAACACTTAGACGTCTTTATGAGAAGGCCTGAGGCTGTTTGTTTTCTGCAACCAGCTCTGCAGGCTGGAGCCATGAGAAGCAAGCATGTGTTGGATGTCTCTCCACTACTGTTCTTTTACCTGGTTCCCCCTGCTATCAAAGGCCTTGAAGGTGGAGGGGATATGGAAGGATATTATCTGTATGGGGGCAGAATCATTCCATTCCTACCTCTAATTCCCTGTTCACATGGATACACTTCTATTTATGAAATTACAAGTGTTAATTAACTAGTTCAAAACTAATGGGAAGAATGCCTGAGTTTAGGAAAACCAACAACACAGCAAACATAAACAACTTTATGGCTGGGCACAGTGGCTGGCTACTATAGTATATAATCTCAGCATTTTGGGAAGCTGCGGCAAGAATATTACCAGAGGCCAGGAGTTCAGGACCAGCCAGGGCAACATTTTGAGACCTGTTTCTACAAAACAAAACACCAAAACTCAGGTGGGAATGGCAGCAGGTGTCTGTAGTACCAGCTACTTGAGAGGCTGAGGCAGGAGAATCATCTGAGCCTAGAAATTTGAGGTTCCAGTGAGCTATGATGACACCACTGCACTTTGGCTGAGACAGCAGAGCACCCAATTCAGGAAAAAAAAAAATTGAAAATGAAAGGTTGAATAGTTCAACAAAACTTCAGGGGTTCTCAGAGGGACTGAATCATTCTGCAGAGTTGTTTCTGAACAAGAGTTGGGTTTTCAATTGAACTCTGGAGAATTCTCAGGAGGTGTGTGAATTCCATGTCAACTTTGTGTCTATGCACAGTATGTGCATTTCCTTGGAAGGTGGGTCTCAGAGGGGACCAAGACCCAGAGGACGTTAACAACTACTGTTTATCCACTGGGATCAACATACCACCTTATGCAGGGTTATCACAAACAAGGTGAGGCTTGCCACAGCAACACAGCTTTGTCACTATGAGCACCCTCCACAGCCCAGATGCTCACCAGGTAGTGGCTCCACCAGCAGCCACTACCCTACTGAGGAAGCATCTGGCCTGCAGGCAGACTTTTTTTTTTTTTATGGTGTTTTTTCTTTTTAAACTAAATTTTAAGAAAATCTGATTTTACATAAAAATCTAGATTTATTGTTTCTCTTGAAAAAAATCAGATCTGACAACACAACATGAAAAATCTGATTTTTTCATGACAAGAATCAGCCAGCTAGGGCCGAGAACTCAGGAGTTGCCCATTTGTCAGGACCGCCAGCTACAGTCTGCTGTGGTCCTCTCCCCTTTGCTCTCCTCAGTTTTGTTACTTGCCTGACCTGAGTTCTCCCTTGTCCCATAATGTGATACTTTCTGTGTCTACTGACGCGTCTATGGTTGTTTCTAAGCTAACTAGCTTTAGGCTAGACAGCCTTTAGAGTTTTGTCGGCTCATGGGTTCCCTCTCTTTTTTTCTTGAGGCAGGGTCTCTCTGTCATCCAGGCTGGAGTGCAGTAGTGTGATCATAGCTCACATAGCTATAATTCCCAATTCCTGAGCTTAAGCAATCCTCCTGCCTCAGCCTCTGGAGTTGCTGGGAATATAAGCATATGCCACCACACCTGGCTAATTTGGTCTCTATTTTTTTGTAGATAAGAGGTCTTGCTGTGTTGCCCTGGCCGGTCTTGAATTCCTGGCTTCAAGTGATCACCCTGCCTTGGCTTCCCAAAGAGCTGGGATCACAGGTGCCACTGCATTGCCAGCTTTCCTCACTCTTGATTTGCTGTTAGGTTGTTACCAACTGTTGTTGGCACAACTGATAGGAAACAACTATTATAATTGCTGATGATTTGGGCAATTCCAAGATATCTAATTAATGTGACCTTTTCTATGTTTGCCCAAGAAGACATACCTAACTGATTTACTATAGTTATCTGAGACCCCATAAAAGAAATGAAAAGTGCTGGGATATGCACAATAAATAGTTCTATGTAACTAAAGAACCCCACATGAACTTATGGAACCAAGGTTGTCTGACTTAGTAAGTGCTTACCTATGGATTTAGGGCTATTATCTAGGAGATGGGGGCACTATTATTTATTTATTATTATTTTTCTTTAGTCACACACCCAACTATAATTTGGGTAACTCAATTAATTCAATAATTTTTGAGTTTCTCAATGTCACACCTGTAATCCTAGCATTCTGGGAGGCCAAGGTGGGTGGACGGCTTGAGCTCAGGACTTCAAGACCAGCTTGAGGAAGAACTAGACTGTGTCTCTAAAAAACAGCCAGGTGTTGTGGTGGGCACCTGTAGTACTAGCTACTCAGGAGAGTGAGGCAAGAGGATTGCTTAAGCCCAAGAATTTGAGGTTGCTGTGAGTTATGACACCACAGCAACTCTACTGAGGGTGACAAAGTAAGATTCTGTCTTGAAAAAAAAATTTTTTTTAAATTAAAAAATATCAAAGATGAATGTATTAATCCTGAGTTTAAGTAGTTTTATACCTAAGCTTATAAAGATCTCACTATGAAATGATTAACTCTTTAGAAACTGTAATTTTTAAACTGCTTGGCTCAGCGGTAATCTGATTATGGTTCTACCTTTTCATTTAGCATACAGTCACTGTGATGGTAGTATGGCTTAATATTTTAGGAATAATCCTTTAAAGGGCTAATTTATTAGGGTTCCAACCTGACAAATATCCCAAGCTTTTTTTTTTTTAGTAGAGAGGGGAGTCTCACTCTTCTTACTCATGCTAGTCTCGAACTTGAGAGCTCAAGCAATCCACCTGCCTTGGCCTCCCAGAGTGCTAGGATTATAGGTATGAGCCACTGCACCTGGGCCACAGCAGGCGCTAAGATGACCACTGGACATCTTAGCAAAAATGTTCAGTGCAAGAACAGAAAGATGTTTTAACTTCTCTGGGCCTCTGGTTTGGCTATTTTCTCTCATTGCATAAAACCTGATAACAAAGAATAATGACAACTGCTAATATTTACTGAGCCCTTAGAAAGTGAAATGCACAATAACTGTATGGGATAAGTATTATTAGTATTGCCATTTCACAGATGAGAAAATAGAGATCTAATTAGTAAAGTGCATAGGCAGGTTTTAAATCATAGTCTAACTTAAAGCCTTATAACACTTCATTATTCCAATAAAGTAATTAGCAACAGTTATTAGTTCAAAGGATTATTTACTCTTTTATCATCTAGGCCACATCACAGAGCTGCTTGTGCACAGCTGAGAAAAACAAATGAGAGAAAACTAGAATGTGACAACACTGCATTTTGGAACATGAACTCCAGCTGGCAGCTACTGGAGTAAGTATGCTGTTCAATGCAAAAATATTACAATAGAACAGGCAGGTTCTCTGAAAGAGGACTGAGAAAGGGAGGGGGGAGAAAGAAAAAAGAAACAGGGGGAAGGATAGATAAGGAAACCCCTATTCTAACACCCAGATCCACTCCTGGAGAACGCTACTATCAACACCGGCAGAACACTAAGATAGTATTAAATGTCCAAAGACTGTCCACCCTTGCCACGTGGAAGACAGTATGTGGATAAAAAACAAAGACTGTCCACCCATTTATGGTGGACAGGATATGAAAACAAATGTGCTCAAATGTAAAGAAGGCAAGGAGCAGAAATGGCAGTAAGAACAGAATATTATGTGTACTTCTTGCAGGGGCCAGAAACTGGCTCTTCCATTAATCTGAGTAGCATTTCCAGTCACTTACTGTATAAAAAACCTTGTGTTTTTCTGACTCCAAATAGATTTTCTTTCTGGACACGGTCAGAAATCAGTATGGAAAATGTAGTTCGTTCCTCTGGCTAGAGACTCACTGCCTAAACTCTGAAGCCCCATGATTTACTGTCATGAGTGGAGTTGGGCAAGATGGGGACAAACTGACAAGGAGATCCGGGCCCTTTGGAGCCTGTCATCTTCCATTTCTGACCTATCCTAAACAACTAAACCCTGTAGATGTTCAACAACTCAGAAAACTATCAAAAGCTACTGGAGGCTACCAAGAAACCCATACCTTAACTACTTATTTTTAAACATTCTGAATGACTCATGTTATAAACTAACGTGTTTTCAAATTTAGCTCACTCTTAACACCTTTTACACACTATTGTTTAAGTCATGTTTTTGCCTCTCCAATCAAATCCTTAGCTCCTTGAGGTCAGGAACCAAGTCTTTGAATTTTATCACCATACCTGAAAGCGGCTGGCACAAAGCTGGGCTCTAGATATTTGTAGCTGAAAACCAAATTAACAAATTTGTCATTCTCAATACCACCATCAGAATTACCAGTTTGGTGAAATTGAACTTTCAGGATGTCTGGGAGAGAGGCTCAGGATGTACATTTTAAACAGGCCCTTTAGGAGATTCTTCGGCACATAGAAGTTTGGGAATGAGAAAGTGCTGTTACATACAAATAAACATTGATATGCCTAAATTATGTCTCAGACAAAATATGAGTATGTGTGAACAAAATAAAGTTTAAATAACTTTCCAGTCTCTTCTTGCCAATCTCTCCTCTCTTCCTTACCTGAATCATTCTCCCTGGATGAAATTCTGATCAAGCCCCTCCTTTGCTCAGAAGCTTACTACAGGAAAATGAAGTCCACAGTTGAAAGCTGATTGTTGAATTTTTACAGCCTATTTGCAATCAACATAACGTTTTAATTTTAAGCACAAATTCTGGAGCCAGAATGAATGAGTTAAAATCTCAAATGCTCTAGTTATTAGCTAAATGACCTCTAGAGAGTCTCTTAACCTTTCCGTGCCTCATACACTCCCCTGCTCATACAAGAGACCATACTATAGTCTCATTTATTAATTCCTGCTCCTTGGACATTTTCCATATTCTCATGTCGTTCTCTTGTAATGCGACTTCACAACATCTCTGGGTCAAAAGCATCCAACTGACAAGACCCAAATCAATTGTCACTTAAAAAGTCTAACCCCTTCCCACCCAAATTAATCTTTCTTGTCTCTGTGCATTAGTGTGACTTTTGTTTGTGCAAGTTTTCTCATCTCCCAGACTATAATTTCCCTCAAGAGGCTGTTAGAGTTCAAACAGTGTGGTTTTCAGGGTGAGACTGATCTGGGTTCCAAACCTGGTCATCCCTGAGGCTCATGGCCTCACATTTCCCATTCATCAGTCTAGGATAATAACAGTAACATTGAAGTGCTGTTGAGAGGCTTAACTGACAAACTCTATCCATAGATACTCGAAAAGAGTTTGTTGTATGGTATTATAATTATCAATAGTGGTATTCACTGAGCAGTGGCTGTTGTAGTCAGTGTCAAACGCTGGAGAAAAAAAACTGTCTTGGAGAAGTACAGTTTTCCATCAAGTTTATGGAGATACCCAGGGAAATGCTGAGCACATTGGTCAGGACATACCCAAGGTGGCTGTTTATAAAGCAGAACTAACAAAACAAAACCATCAGCACGTGCAGTCTGAGCTGGCAACTGGGTGTGCCCTGGGGGACAGAGCGCAAAGCTCCTCCTTATTGGTTCTTCGGAGGGTGACATCAAGACCCCTAAAAGACCAACCAATGGGCTTCGGCGGGAGGATCCACTGCTCACAGTTGAGGATTCCACAGCTTCTAGGCTCCAGATTTCTCTTCACCAAAATTGAGAGGCTGCTCACCCGCCCCGCAAGATATCCTTAAATAGACACAACCCACTTTCCCATTTGCTTCTACCCCCCTTTTAATAAAAGAAAATGCTCTTTTGAACAAAATCGGATTTCTGAGCCGTGAGGTTCGGCATCAGAAGAGCCCTGCCCAAATACTCGGAGTTTCCCTTTGCCCCCATTCTGAGCTTCCCATTATCCTATTATAAAAGGAGTTAACAAATCACTCTGCCTTGGGGCAAGAATGTGCCCTGGCAGTTAAGACTGTAAGCTAAACCAGGAGGTTATCAGGAATTCGATCCAGTCTGGCTGTGATGCTCCAGGCTGTGGTGCAAACAGGCGCCCCGCTATCCCCCTCCAAAATTTACAGTAGTGATGCTCCTTCCATCTGGCCCTAGGAGCTCCTGGAGTGAGTGGCTCTGACCCTGACCCCCGAGAGGGCTCAAGCGAGTCCCAGCGACCCGCTGTGCTGACGTGGGGCTCCGGGAAGGTATGGAGAAGTTGGCCAAGATGAGATCTGCACCCCGCGGTCAGGACTGGGACCGCTCAAGAAAGGCCCCTACACCTTCTCCATCCCCGCCAGGACGGCGACGGCTACACCAAAGGGATTCCACCTCCGTCTTCCACACCACGTCTCGAAATCATGCCTAAGCCGCTCACTCATCACCCCCCGCCGTGCCGTGGCTTACCATTCCGTTCGTCCCAGGGCCAACCTGGCCGTCACCCTCAGCCCCGACCCCTGCGGAAACAGAGGAGGTAGAGGCCTCTCTTCCGGAAGTAATTTTGGACCCTCTGCAGAGAATGCCTCCAGGCCGCGATCATAGAGCAGAGGCCGAAGTCTTTTCTAATCCCCTTAACCCCGCGACCTCCTCGCTGCCTAGAGCGGCCTCTCCCCGGCGGAGGAAGCGGGAGCATGCGTACCACCGCCGGTCCCGCCCCTTCCTCTTCGCACAACCACCGAAGACTTGGGTTCCAGAGTTCCGTCCGTAGGCTAGGGACACTGCAGTGTGGCTGTTTGTGTATTCGGAGGATACAAATTTGCCCAGAAATTAAGGAAATATTACAAGACCAGCTGTACTCGCCCCAGTTTTTTTTTTTTTACATTTTGTGCGGAAAATTACAGGACCATAGCTGAAGAGCCATTTGTTAATCGGTGGGATGTGGTTGCTCACGTCTGTAATTCCAGCACTTTGGAAAACCAAGCGGGAGTATCGCTTGAGCCCAGGAGTTCGAGACCAGCCTGAGCAACATAGCTAGCACACCCCACCCCACTCTTGCCGCCTCTATTTTTTTTTATTATTATTTTAAATTAGCCAGGCTTGGTGGTTTGCGCCTGTAATCCCAGCTACTGGGGAAGCTGACAATCTCTGGAACCCAAGAGTTTGAGGTTGCAGACAGCTATGATGATGCCACTACACTCTAACTCCGAAAAAGAGTGAGACTGATCCCCACAATAAAAAGAAAAAATAAAGAACCGTAACAAAAATTATCACCACGTTTTATCCCCCAGCACGTTGGTCTTTTGAGAACTCATGCTCATGATCTGTTTTAAGTTGCTGGCCTGGAGATGGCTAAAGTGCTACTTTGAGATGGCATTTTCTTTTCTACCTATCAAATTGACAAAGATAAAAAACCTTGGTAATCTTTTCACCAATTGCCATGATAGCGCAGGGAGTATGTGAACTCATTCTGAAAGATAATCTGGCAGTAAGAATGAGCATTTTAAAAAATTGTGGTAGAAGATACATAAAATTTACCTTTTAACCATTTTTAAGTATACAGGTAAGTGGCATTAAGTACATTTACATTGTTGTACAACTGTCACCAATATCCATCTCCAGGATTTTTTTATTTTACCAAACCAAAACTCCCATACCCTTAAACATTTATTTATATTAATCACAAATTTACTTTACACGTCTCATACATTGTCAACACTGATCCTCAACGCACCACCAAGAAATTGAGATTTAGGGGCGGCGCTGTGGCTCAAAGGAGTAGGGTGCCGGCCCCATATGCCGGCTAAAAACTGCAAAACCCAGCCCCTCCCAAAAACTGCAAAAAAAAAAAAAAATTGACATTTGGTACGGTTAAATATGTTGTCTAATTGGCCAAACTAGTCTTTGAAAACAGGTCTTCCAACCAACTTCATAATCAGTTTTTATGAAAGACCAAGGTGAATTCATTCACTGAACTCAGGCTTACTGAGCGTCTACCACCTGTCCACTCATTGCTAGGCTTTGGGCGGCAACAGCGATCCTAAACGAACTTGCAACTCCTTTAGGGAAAGACTTCACATTCGCCCGCCATTTATAGTCCCAGTAGCTAATGCACTAGATAAAGGTCTAGGTCTTGGCTTTGCTTTCCCTGCTCACTAGGTAACTATTATTCTCTGTTGCAGCACTCTGCTCTTTTTCTTCATAACAACTGCTGTGTGTTTCCAAATGGCAAGTTTGATTTCCGCCTGAATTTCTCCTCTTACCCGAAGTTTAAGCTACGATGGTACAGGGACCATGTCTTCCTGTTCATCAAAGTATCATCACCCCTATCAGAGTGATTAGCACATAATAGTGGGACACCATGGAGGGGGGGGCGTTGCCTGACAACAATGCAAACTTTGATAAGCACTTTTCCGTAATCTAAGGTGACCAGATTTTAACATTGGTAAAGCGGGACCCCAATGGGGGGGGGGGGCTATTGGCTGAGTTGTTTATGGTTAGGGACCCTCTAGAGAGGAGGGGCTACTTGTTTGTTCCAGACCGTTTGGCTCCTTCTGAGCTAATTGTCCATGCCTAGAAGCGAGGGAGGGAGCCAGTATCCTTCTGATACCGATTCCACCTGGGCGACCTTGCCCAGGACCGGAGTAGGGAGTTTACATTAGCCTTATTATTTCCAAATGAGGTTACATTAACCTCTTCGTTCCCAAATGGAGATACATGAACCTTTTCAGCAGCCGAAAACCGTATATTCCCTTCCCATTCTCCCGCTGTTCCCTAGCTTGTCATGCATTCTTTCCAAAAATCGAGACTTTTTTAAAACGCCATGGGACGCCGGACAAATTGTTAAAAATCGGGACTGTCTCGCCAAAAGCGGGACGTCTGGTCACCTTAACATAACAGGAACTCAGTAAATATTTGCTGGCGGACTGACGTCAGGACACGCCATTTCTTCTAAACTGAACACCGGCAAATTAGACCACTCCTTGGCTACAGGGATAGCCACTCCCCTCCTCGGTCCGCGGAGGAGTGGAAGTAGCACACCCTTGGCCCCACCCACGACGTTGACGAAGGCGCTGACGCAGGAGCTGCCGCAAACCCAGCGAGCGCGCGCTGTTTCCGGAAGTCGTCTCCTCCGTGTTGGCTGCTGCTGCTTCAGCGGCTGCTGCGGCAGCCACGGAACTCTGAGAGTGGAACAGCTGTGGCTGGATTCCGGCCACTCTGCAGAATGGAGATAATCAGGAGCAGTGCGTGTCCGCGTACCCACCCCTTCACTCCGGCCTGCTAGGCCTGGACCACGGTCGCGTCTCCACCCTCTACCCCGGCCTGCTAGGCCCAGAGCACGAGGGGCCTGTCCGGTGTGCAGGGGGCTGAGGCAGCGCCTCAGGGCTTTGGCCCCTGCTTCTCTTGGGGCAGTGTCTCGCTGCGGACCATGCAGCATTTGCTGCGGACCATGCAGCAAAGTTTGCATTGTTGTCACGGCCTTGTCCTCCGGTCCGTGCACCCTTGGGGCTTCTCCCTCTGGTCCGTGCACCCCTTGGGGACCTGATTCCCTACGGCCGATGCACACCTCTGACACCTCTGAGATTTGTTCACCGTACCCCAGGCCCTTGGCCTCTGAAGGTCCGCGACCTTCTTTCCTTCTCCCCTTAGGAGACAGTGGGCAGGAATTTAGGCCACCGGTTCTGAGCCTCTTCTCGATTTCTCCGCAGATTTTAAGAGTAATCTTCACAAAGTGTACCAGGCCATAGAGGAGGCAGACTTCTTCGCCATCGATGGGGAGTTTTCAGGTATCCCTTTCTTGGAAGCTCAGAGCTAGCATCTGCAATGCATAGCCGAGGCTCTTTCAGTCCCCCAGCCTCTGACTTGTCATTCCTGCCAGCGGTTCCTAGCCGTTTGTAGCCTTCAGTGGGGGTTGCACAAGTGTCAACATTTCCCCTTAAACGTTTCAAAAGCATGGAAGGGGTTAAGAGATGGCGGTGGATTTGCGATTGGTCTTTTGAGGATTGCAGATAGAGATTATGGTTTTGGTGCTGCTTGAAAGTTTGACATGTACGTGGAGGAAGCTTTGAGGATTAGGGTCAGGCTTTTTTTCCCCCTTGTGATAAAGTACATATACAATTTACCTATTAATTATTTTTAACTGGTTTTACAGTTCAGTGGCATTAAGTACACTCACTTTGCAGTGCTAGCATCACCATCCATCTCATGGTTTTCATCTTCCTAAATGAAACGCCTTACATTGAACTCTCCATTGTCCCTTCCCCTGAAACCTCTAACAACCATCATTGTCTTTATGAATTTGACTATTGTAGAGTAGTCATATGCTCCCTATACATTAAATATTTGTTCTTTTGTAATGGGCGAGAATCAGGCTTCTACAGATAAACGAGGATATTCCTTTATCCATTAGGAAAAGTGTTCATTGCCTACGTAGGCAGGTGCATTAGTGTGTGTTATACTTTACCAACACAATTACAAGATTTTTTATTTTTCACAATTACAAGTTTTTTTATTTTTCCTTTTTGGGGGGAGCAAAGACTACTTTTTTAATTGTTGACATCAGTGTGGACAGTTCACTTCCTTTGGTACAGATACCACTTTTTTTTTTTTTTAAGAGAGAAGAGTCTCACTTTATCACCCTCAGTAGAGTGTGGTGGTGTCACAGCTCACAGCAACCTCCACCTCCTGGGCTTAGGCAATTCTCCTGCCTCAGGCTCCCAAGAAGCTGGGACTATAAGTGCCCGCCAAAATGCCTGGCTATGTTTTGTTACAGTTTGGCTGGGCCCAGGTTCATACCTGCCACCCTTGGTATATGGGGCTGGTGCCCTACTCACTGAGCTACAAGTGCTGCCCAGATACCACTTTTATTATGTGATTTTTACATGTTTAAAAAAATCCTAGCTTTTCTAAGGAATCCATGTTGGGGTAAATGGTGGTCATTGATTTTAATCATGCAGTTTCTAGTTGGAGTCAGTTCCTTAGGAGGCTAAGAATTTTCACCAAAAAATATTTTTTTTTTGACCTTGAAAATACTTTTGTTTTATAGATGCTGCTCCAAATTATTGACCAAGACTGGTACTCTAGCAATAATACGCTTATGGATTTGTTGATGTTTGATTGTGCATTAATCCTTTAGAAAGCAGCAAAATTTGTTCAAGCACATAGCTTATTTTCTTTTGAACCCCATTTTAGACCCTGGAGCTGCCCATTTTCAAGTTGAAACATTCACATCTCCAAATTCATTATTGCAGAGTTTAGCTTGGTGGCCAGTTAAGTTAATGCTAATTTTGAAAAACTGAGATAGGGAGCATTTCCAATCAATCTTAATTCATGATATGAAATAATGGAGGCAATTGAATGATTGACTAACATTTTTACATTTACTAGTAAGTTAAAAACTTATTTCTTAAAATCTAGGAATCAGTGATGGACCTTCTGTCAGTGCATTAACAAATGGTTTTGACACTCCTGAAGAAAGGTATCAGAAGCTTAAAAAGGCAAGTAGATATGCTAGGAAATCTTTTTCTTTCTCATGTTGGTCCTCTTTATGTTAAATTATAGACAAATGTAATTATTAAACTTGCACATTAAGGTTTTCCAAGTGGAGCACTTCTTCTCAAACCCAGCCAGGAAGTGATATTTAAAACAGCAAAAATAATTGTTTGCTGGAAAATATTTTGGGAAAAGTTTAGTATTTTTGATGTTAATTTGATTTATAGGAAATAAGATGTGATTATTTTAATCATTTGGCAGTGGATCTAATAAATACTCTGGATAGGCACTTGATTGGGAAAAATATTAAGAGAGCTATATAAATCAATAATGCTTTTGATTCATAATCTAGAAGTATTCTGCCAAAGTTGAGTAATTCAGAAAGCCTCTCAGTTTGAGAATACTACTACTCATATCGAATATGCAGCACTATTGTGACAGATGTTTTATCTCCCTTTTCCAGCATTCCATGGACTTTTTGCTGTTTCAGTTTGGCCTTTGCACTTTTAAGTATGACTACACAGATTCAAAGTAGGTTGTTTTGACAAATGGTGGGGATTCTTCTTTTGTGCATGGTGTATCCCTCTAACTTTCCTTTTGTCTCATTTTCCCAGGTATATAACGAAGTCATTTAACTTCTATGTTTTCCCAAAACCCTTTAATAGATTTTCACCAGATGTCAAGTTTGTTTGTCAGGTTAGTAGCATAATTGAGTTTTTTCTTTTATGGATTGGTGATAAGGCAACATAGAAATATGGAATCCAAATTCTCTTTACAATTTGGTTTTACCACTAACTTTGGGCTTTGGGAAAATCACTTTCTCCTGTCTGACCTTCGGTTTTAGAATTACAAATTAATGATACTGTAATCTTACAGTATCAGAATTAATTAAGGTTTAGAATAATTAAGGAAAAAGACAAGCAAAGAGAAATCAAAAGGTGAGCTTTGTTATTCATAAAGCTGAATTCAGTGCCAGGCGTGGTGGCTCATGCCTTGAATCCCAGCACTCTGGGAGGGTCAGGCAGGAGGATCACCTGAGTTGGAGACCAGCCTGAGCTAGAGTGAGATCCCATCTCTAAAAACAGCCCAGCATTGTGGTGGGCACGGTAGTCTCAGCTACTCGGGAGGCTAAGGCAAGAGGACTGCTTGAGCCCAAGAATTTGAGGTTGCTGTGAGCCATGACTCTAGGGCACTCTACCAAGGGTGACAAAATGAGACTTTGTCTCTAAAAACAAACAAAAAAATAAAGCTGAATTTGAGAACATGGCTTCCTACCTCTACTTGAGATTTTTAATATCTTACCTCCAAGTTGAACTTACATATCAGGACTTGTAGGCTTCTCTCCTATCCCCTTCTCCTTGCACCCACTCCATGGATAGAATGTTACATTCTGGAAGAGCAGAGTGTGTTTGTATTCAATCCAAAAAGAGAGAACCCAGAAGGGGTTCCTTTTACCACTCAGTTCCTTTTCCCAAGTTCACCAAGTAGGAGAGAGAAGGTGAAAAAAGGTGACTATTTCCTCTTGAGGGGAGAGCTTACTTTTGGGTCAAGGTAAGGAAGCAGGGAACTTCTCATTAGAATATACATTCTAAGGTTGGTGTAGCTGACAATTCTGAGAGGTAGACACCCAGTAAATAGCAGGTTTCTCTTTCAGTCCTCTTGATTTTCTGTTGTAATGGATAAGCAGAATGCTAATAAGTGGTATGAGTGTGTGGATATGTGATTAAAAATAAGTAATCTTTTCTCCCTTAGAATCCACTCCCTGTCTTGTCTCCCACATTCCTTTGAGTCTTGCCATCTTTCTTTTTTCTTGCAAGTAAGTGGTAATGCAATTAGGAAAGCCTGGAGGATAAGAGAAAAGGTGAAGATAATTTTAGTCTTATAGCCAGTTTTCTTATATTAGCAAAATAAACGATAGTTGACATTTCCTTTACCCTATAGTCAGTCAGTAGCTCTTTACCAGTCACCCAGTATTGGTATATTTTCAGTGAGAGATATTTTTCAATAGGCCTGGTGTGGAAATTGGTGAGGATATAGTTTTCTAGCAATACCAAGAACTGAAAATTACTTAAAAAGTGGGTTTCATGGCTTTGGCCACAGGATGCTTTTATCAAAAAAGAAATGGCAAAGAAAAGGTTAGACTCTGACCTTGTGAATTGTATGGATAAGGTAAATGTATCTTTGGATTTTCTTCCTCTTGTTTCTCACTTAAGGTGTTTTTTGTTCTGTTTAAAATTCTGTTATTGCAGCAGAGCTGCCATTTCACAAGGGGGTTGGGTTTTAGAGTCAACGAGTGGAGTAAAAATTATGTTGAAAGTCATTCTCAAAAAACTCTTAGCACCTTTAAAGTATACAGGATTGGAGGGCAAAGCAACTTAATCTGTTCTCTGAGAAATAAGTATCTGTACACACAATGAGACACACTATAGGCAAGATGTGGAGAAATGTGCTGACAGAACCATATAGACTCCCAGAAATGTTCTTGTCAAATAGAATGGTAGGCAGAGTAGCATGACATTTACATAGCTTTTGTTTCTTCTCCATTTTCTTTATTCCTTTGCCTTTTTCTCGCTGAACAGCTATAAAACTCAATGGAAGATGGTACATATATGGTTGTGAAAAATCAAAACAATACTGCTGGCTCGGCGCCTATAGCTCAACCGGCTAAGGCGCCAGCCACGTACACCTAAGGTGGTGGGTTTGAATCCCCAGCCCGGACCGCCAAACAACGACGGCTACAACCAAAAAATAGCCGGGCGTTGTGGCGGGCGCCTGTGGTCCCAGCTACTTGGGAGGCAGAGGCAGGAGACTTGCTGGAGCCCAGGAGTTGGAGGTTGCTGTGAGCTGTAATGCCACGGCACTCTACCCAAGGGGACAGCTTGAGGCTCTGTCTCAAAAAAAAAAAAAAAACAAAAAAACAAAAAACAATACTGCTATGTTTAGAGTAACACATGAATTTCTTTCCTTATACCCTTTCCCCATGCCACTTCCTTCACATTTCACTGCTTTTATGATATATATGCCCACATACTTCTCCACACACATAATTTTAGCATTTTTGTTAATGGAATCCTAATATTCATATTGTATATATCTTGCATTTTCCATTCAACAGAATGTATTTCATAATATAGGTGTGTATAATTGTTTAGTCAGTTCATTAATTGGAATTTAGTGGCTTTCCAATGGTTATCAACAGTGCTGTAATCAACATTCATGTGCAGTATATTTTTTAGTATACTTAGGAATTTTTCTGTAGGATAGACCCCCCCAGAAGGGGAATTGCTGAGTCATAAGACATGTATATTTAAAATTCTGCTTGTATATCTAGGAATTTTTCTGTAGGATAGACTTCCTGGAAAGGGAATTATTGAGTCATAGGGGATGTGCATTTAAAATTGTAAGTGCCTCAAATTGTCCTCCCCAATACCCATGCTTATCTCTTAATCTTGAAAATGTTACATTTAGGACAAGTCAAGGGTATTGGATAGTAAACCACAAATAGTTCTAGTTAGTTGAAAGGTTTTCTGAAATTGCAATAAAATATACATAATAAAATTTACCATTCTAACCAATTTTTAAAAATTTATTAAAAATAATTTTTTTAAGAGACCAGAGTTTTGCTGTGTCACCTAGGCTGGAGTGCAGTGGTCCAGTCATAACTTACTATAACTTCTAACTTCTAGGTTCAAGTGATCTACCCACCTTAGCCTCCTGAGTGGCTGGGCTACAGGCATGTACCACCATAGCCAGTAATTTTTTTATTTTTATATTTTGTAGAGACAGGGTCTTGTTGTATTGTTCAAGCTGGTCTCGAACTCTTGGCTTCAAATTACCATCTTGCCTTGGCCTTCCAAAGTGCTGGGATTACAGGCATGAGCCAGTGCACCCAGTTTAAATGTATAGTTCAGTGGCATTAAATGCATTCACATTGTACAACTCAGTATTGTTTTGTTTTGATTAGAAAATAAATTGTTTTGAAGAAGGAATAGATGAATCTTTGACTCTGGACTTAATATGAAGAAGGAAATTGGAGTTTTTTGGAGACTAGTACAAGGACAGAAATGTCTTTTCACAGTCTGTCTTTTGGTGCCTCTAAAATTTTTAAGTGGGCAGAATTGTAAGGATGCTCAGGTGTGATAGACAGAAGGGAGTCTGGTAGATCAAGCTGAAAGACATTGAATCTTGATTTAGGACAGAATACAAGAAGAAGCGGAGGTGAAGAAGTATTGCTTCTTTAAAGTATAGAAATCCTGAACATGGTAGAAAATTATACAGATGTAGCCCAGTTTGTGTGTGCCTATTTGTGGAAAGCTTCCTTCCTACCTTTCTTCCTTCCTTCCTTCCTTCCTTCCTTCTTCCCTCCTTCCCTCCCTCCCTCCTTCTTTCTCTCTCTTTCTATTTTTTATTTATTTTTTTTGAGACAGAGTTTCAAGCTGTTGCCCTTGGTAGAGTGCTGTGGCATCACAGCTCACAGCAACCTCAACACTTGGGCTTAAGTGATTCTCTTGCCTCAGCCTCCCAAGTAGCTGGGACTATAGGTGCCCACCACAACGCCCCTCTATTTTGTTGTTATTGTTGCAGTTGTCATGGTTGTTTTACCTGGCCCAGGCTGGGTTCCAACCTGCCAGCCTTGGTATATGTGGCCGGTGTCCCTCTCTTTCTTTTCTTGACAGAGTCTCATTTTGTCACCCTAGTAGAGTGAGATGGTATCATCATAGCTCACTCCAAACTCAAAATTCCTTACCTGAAGCAACCCTCTTGTTTCAGTCTCTCAAGTAGCTGAGACTACAGGTGTGCACCACCATGCCCCACTAATTTTTCTTCTTTTAGTAAAGACAGGAGTCTCTGTCTTGCTCAGGCTGGTGTTGAACTCCTAAGCTGAAGTGATCCTCCTAAGTTGGCCTCCTAGAATGCTAGGATTACAGGTGCGAGCCACCATGCCCAGTCACAATTATCTTTTTATATCTCACCTTGTTTAAAAAAGTCTTTGGGTTGGCTAGTAAAGATTATACTACACAGTAGAATCTTAGTAAGTTGACCACCCAAGGGACTAACTGGTCAACATACAGAAGTGATCAACATAAGGCACTAGGCCTAGTGGTGCATGTCCAGTCTGTGAAAATTAGGTCAACTTAAGAAGGTAGTCAAGGTCGACAGGTGGTCAACTATGGAGTTCTACTGTATTTTGATGTAAGCTTTTTAAAAATAAGTAAATGAGAAATTGAAAGGGAAATTATGTGATTACTTGAGCTAAAGAAAGTCTAAATTGTTTGTCTCTGAGTTCCCTAGCAGCAAAGAAAAGAGGGAAATATAGTGTCAGTTCTGTGGTCCATAGGATTAAAACAATCTAGGGCTCATGATCAGTATAGCTTTTCCCAGAATAGAGACTTAAGAACATTTGCCCTTTAAATGGTAAAGAAATCATTCTGTAGAAAACCCTGTGTTCAGTCACATCTCTGAAGTGAATACTATGATAAGCTTAATTGGGAATGTTTGCTACAATGTCCTTTGATCTAAACTGATGGTAAAATGTTAGAGAATAGTTCAGTATAGTAATGTTTCCTCTCATTAGTCAGTTTGAGTACAAACTTTGATTTTGCCATACTTGTGTACCACCTATAATAGTGAGATTTTTATTTAAATTTGCTTATATGACTTTTTCTCCTGCTGTGTAGATGCCTAGTAATGGAATTGCAGGATCTAATGGAAGGTCTATTTTGAGTTCTTCGAGGAGTCTCCAAATTTTCTTTCCAAAGAGGCTGTATTAGTTTGCAGTCCCACCAACAGTATAAAAGTGTTTCCTTCTCTCTGATGGGGAATTTGCATAGTTTTTATTACCCTGGATGGAGTTGAAACATATTCTTCTTAATAAAGTATCAGAAGAATGGAAATGAAAGTATCCACTGTACCTGATGCTAATATGAACCCAGTAGGTGATTTAATACACACCTACATAAGAGAAAAACTTAATTCAATTCAAGTTTGGGGGCGGGGGTAGAAGGGTTTGGTGTGCTCCCACTAAATGAGCACAATATAAGGGTGTATGGCACACCTCTTAGGCACAGGACACAACTACAACAGGGACTCCACCTAACAAATGCAAGCATTGTTGCCTAATTGTTTATACCCTTACAATCTGAAATAAATACATAAATTCAGAGAGAGAAAAAAAATGAAACTAAATTTGCTTACATGTTTCTGCTTATCTTAGGGTTTTTTGCTTTTGTTTCTTTTTTTTGTGACATTTTTTTTTCACTTTGTTGCCCTGCGTAGAATGCCATGGCATCATCATAACTCATGACAACTTCAAACTATTGGGCTCAAGCAGGCCTCCTGCTTCAGTTTTTCTATTTTTAGTAGAGACAGGGGTCTTACCCTTGCTCAGGTCTTGAACTCCTGAGCTCAAATATTCCACCCACTTTGGCCTCCCAGGGTGTTGGATTATAGGTGTGAGTCACCATGCCTGGCCTCTTCATCCTAGGTTTGAGATAAGTTTGTTTAGTAAGGCTTATTACTGGAAACTTCTCTGTCTTGATCTTGAACATTAAAAACATCCAATTAAGGGCAGCGCCTGTGGCTCAAAAGGGTAGGGCACTGGCCCCATATGCTAGAGGTGGTGGGTTCAAACCCAGCCCTGGCCAGAAACTGCAAAAAAAAAAAAATCCAATTAAGATTTGGGGGGGCAGGTAGAGTGGTTCATTCCTGTAATTTTAACATTTTGCAAGGCTGAGGTGGAAAGATTTTGTGATACCAGGTGTTTGAGATCAGCCTGAGCAAGAGCAAGACCCCATTTCTACAAAAAAATAGAAAATTAGCCGTTTGTGGGTGGTGCATGCCTGTAGACCTAGCTACTTGGGAGGTTGAGGCAAGCAGATCTCTTGAGCCCAAGAGTTTGAGGTCATAGTGAACTATAATTACCCAACTGCACTCTAGCCTAGTTGACAAAGTGAGACCCTGTCTCAGAAACAAAAACCAAACATACACACACACACCCCCACCCCACCCCCAGACAAAAGAAGAGCCCAAATACTGCAAGGAGATGAATGACCCCGTGTGGAGTAGCAGTCCTCCTCTCTGACCTTTGCCGTGCTGCTTCCTTGCCTGGTTGTCTTGTTTACCTCCCTATTTACTTCCCTATTCTGTTACTTCCCTATTTCTGTTCCTAAATTTGCTGCTAATGTTACCAAAATTTATGTTCTGTTTGTTCTTATTTCAGAGCTCGAGCATTGACTTTCTAGCAAGCCAGGGATTTGATTTTAATAAAGTTTTTCACAATGGTAAGATTATATGTGATTTGTCATTACAGTTTATAAACCTTTTAAATGTTCTTGGGAATTAAATCTGGATTTGGTGGAAAAGTACCATTTTGTGCCTTCTATCTGAGACAGAATCTAGTTCTAGTACACTGTTTGCACTTTAGAATTTTTAAAAACTCTTATCTTTTTGTTTTTTACTTCACTTAACTCTAATGAGCGCTTTCAAATTCCTGTTTCTTGTTAGTTTATTCTACCACCAGTGTGACTTAACTCGTTCACTTATGGGAAATGCTTCCTTGTTTGCTTCCAGTGTGACAAGAGGTATAGTACTTTAAAAAGTAGTCACATTCCAGTAATGCTATAATAAAAACCTCCTTGTCCATTCATGCACTTATTTTATAATTGGAGACAGTTCCTTGGTTTTTCAAGGAAGGAAAAAAAAGTCTGCAAAGAGTACACAATTGCTAGGGCAGACTTACTGGGTGGCAGGCTGGTTAGCATATTGACGAGGGGACTGTGTCTAGTTCATCTCAAATACCTAGTACATTCCTCTTCTATATCAGGGGTCACTAAATATTTGATGAATGAATGGAGGCATGGGTGCTGGAATATAGCATGCCAAATTGGCTTTCCTTCTTTTTTATTTATTTCCTTAATAGTGTTTGAGAAAGCCTCTGCTTTTCCCAGTGATATTAAGCACCTACTACTACAGGGTCAACAGTAGTTTTAATTATTTTCACAAATTGTTTTTTTCCCCAGGGTGAATGTAGAATGAATGAGTGAGGAAAGGAAAGAGGTTTATGGCAGTAAAAGTACTAGATTTTTCTCAAAAAAAGTACATAGAGTTCAAATAAATTGTATTTTCAGCATGGCCTTCTTACAAGTTCTGTTGACACCATGCCATATTGTTTTTAATTGCTTTGTTGGTGCTGTACCTTCATTTTTATTGATGATCTTGATTTTTAAAAATATTCAAAAGTTTTTGGAGCCAAAACTCCTTAACTTAACATAGTGGTGAATAGCTAGGCAGTAGAATTTGAATATTAAAGTAATTTTTTAAAATTTATCTCATACGTTATTCTAGAAGCCATTATAAAGCAGAGACTCTGGCTGGGCATGGTGGCACCTATAGTCCCAGATACTCAGGAGGTTAGATAGGAGGGTCTCTGGAGCCTAGGAGTTCAAGACTGCAGGCTACACTGGTCACACCACCTTTGTAGCAGAGCAAGACTCCACCTTTAAAAATTAATAATAATTAAAAAAAACCCAAACAGAAGCTCTAAGTTTATTTAGAGCTCTATATGGGAATAATGTAAACATCTTTTGAAAGAACTATTTTAGCCAGTATTATATGGTGGTATAGTTTACAACCTGTTGGTTTTATTTTCATAAAAGAAGAGAAATAGTCAAACTGAAGTATGTGTCTTTCTCATTGTTTTATAGTCATGAACCTTAGAGTATTCTAGGCCCAACTGAATTGATACCCAGGCCACCCTTTATTACTAAGACTTATCCCCTTGCTGTTGTAGATACTCTATAAATCTGATCTGGACTCTCCTTTCTCTTTGTTATCAAATCTTTCCATCTGGGCTCTGTAAATGCCAGACCCATGTCATTGGGCAGTCTTCTCTGAAGTTCCTGTGACTTCCTTGTTGGAAAGTAGACCAGGTGACTCCTCCTGTTGCTCTTTCTCCCTGCAGCTTTTTCTAAGGCAGGTGGTTTCACCTCTCACTCTGCTGTATTCCTGGCCAGACTGTGCGAGGTAACTTCCATGCTTCTCCATGCCACTTCCAAAGCACCTGAATTCCCACTTTTCTCAGGGCTGTGTCACTGACTTTGCCGCCTTCTCTTTGCTGACTGGCCCGTTCCCATTCTTTCCATGCCCATCCCTCTCTTCATTCACGTTCCTGTGGAAGTGACTCCAGCACCCACCGGATGATAGCAGAGGCTCTGCCAGTCCTTGACCGAGCCATCCACAGTGTTTGCTTTTGTCTCCCTTGACAAGCATGATGGGTCTTGTCGTCGCTAATTGCACCTCTCCTTTCCCATCTGCAGTATTTCTTTCCTCAAGAGCACTGTCCAGTACCTGGCTTCAGTGGTCTGTTGACTTCTGTTGCATTTTCACTGTCTTATTACCTTCCCCTCTTCAATACCTTCATTTTTTATTAAGTCATAACTGTGTACATTAATGCATTTATGGGGTACAATGTGGAGTGATTACATCAAGCTGGTTAACATAGTCTTCACCTCACTTACTTAATTGTTGTGTTAAGACATTTATACTCTACTCTTAATAGATTTGACATGTACCCTTGCAGTATGCACCATAGGGTGTGGTCCCACCAAAAACCCTCTCTCCACCCGGCCTCCCCCCTCCCTTCCCTTTCCCCTCCTCTTCCCTCCTTCATCCTGGACTATAGTTGGGTTTTATCTTTTATGTGAAAGTGTGGGTGATTATATATTGGTTTCATAATAGTATTGAGTACATTGGGTACTTTTTCTTCCATTCCTGGGATACTTTCCTAAGAAGAATATGTTCCAGCTCCATCCATGTAAACATAAAAGAGGTAAAGTCTCCATATTTTGGCTGCGTAATATTCCATGGTGTACACATACCACTGTTTGTTCATTCATGGGTCGATGGGCACTTGGGCTGCTTCCATGACTTGGCAATTATGAATTGGGCTGCAATAAACATTCTGGTACAAATATCTTTGTTCTGAAATGATTTTTGGTCATCTGGATATATACCCAGTAGAGGAATTGCAGGATTGAAGGGCAGATCTACTTTTAGTTCCCTTAGTGTTCTCCAAACTTCTTTCCAAAAGGAACATATTAGCTTGCATTCCCATCAGTAGTGCAGAAGCATTCCCTTCTCTCCACATCCAGGCCAACATCTATAGTTTTGGAATTTTGTGATGGGATTTGTAATGGGATTTTTCCCATTATTTTACTGAAGTTAGATGATATCTCAGAGTGGTTTTGATTTGCATTTCTCTGATGATTAAGGATGATGAGCATTTTTTCATGGGCCTGTCTTCTTAAGAGAAGCTTCTGTTCAAGTCTCTTGCCCACAATGAAATGGATCACTTGTTCTTTTCTTATTAATTAGTTTGAGTTCCCTGTGGATTCTAGTTATCAAACCTTTGTCAGAAACATAACCCGCAAATATCCTCTCCCATTCTGAGGGCTCTCTGCTTGCTTTACTTACTGTGTTCTTGGCTGTGCGGAAGCTTTTTAGTTTGATCAGACCAATAATATATTTTTGGTGTTGCTTCAATTGCCAGGGGGGATTAAAATATAAAATATTCTCCCAGGCCAATTTTTTCAAGTGTTTTTCCTGCACTTTCTCCAAGTATCTTTGTAGTTTCATGTCTTACCTTGAAATTTTTTATCCAGTGAGAATCAATTTTTGTTAATGGTGACAAGTGAGGATCCAGTTTCAGTCTTCTACAAGTTGCCAGCCAATTCACCCAGCACCATTTGTTAAATAGGGAATCTCTCCTCCAATTTATGTTTTCGATAGGCTTATCAAAGATCAAATGATAAGTGTCGGGGCTCATATCTTAGTTCTCTACTCTGTTCTATTTTTGTGCCAGTATCATGCTGTTTTGATCACTATAGATTTATAGTATAACCTGAAGTCTGGTAGTGTGATTCCTCTTGATTTGTTTTTATTTATGAGTAATGTCTTGGCTACTCAAAGTTTTTTCTGATTCCATATAAAACAGAGTACTATTTTTTCCAGATCTTTAAAGTGTGACGGTGATGAATACCTTGGCTCTCCTCCTTATCCACATGGTCCATCATTGTCCTTCCTTTCTTCTCCCTCCATTGTACTTGTCTAGAAAAGTCCCAACTGTGGTAGAATCTGACCATCCACTTTTTCTGTTCCTGAGCATCTGATTATTGCTGGAAATCACAACAAACTTGAACTAATTTACTCTAAATTATGGGCACAAACTTCAAAGCAGCACTTTGTTGTGCTCACTTCAAAGCAGCACTCTGTTGTGCTCAAAAAAATCTTACTTTTTCACCCTAGAACTATCTTTTAACTCTCTTAGATGTCTTTTTGAACTACCAATTTCTCCAAACTCCCAATCCCAGCTCATGACCATGCCTCACTAATGAAAATAGAAGCCAGGAGAGACGGGCTTTGTATTCTTATCACGAGAGCCACAAGGCTGTCCTAAGTCTGAACCCAGTTTTTTTTGCCTCCTTTGCAGTGGAAGAACACTCTCTGCACCTGTTAAAGGGTAGGCTGTTTGCCTTGCCAAGCACTACCTCTTTCAGTTTGTCCTTCTTTCTTCTTAATCATCTTCTCTTCTCTTCTTTCTAGTAGATCAACCTTTATTAACATGCTATGGGTACAGAACTTCTTGACCCAGCCCACAGGCACCTTGTCTACTCCCCATAGATAGAATTAAGGAGTCCTGAACTTGGAGGGGAGAACATTTATGTCTGTATTTTTTATACCTCTGAACTGAAATTTAACAGTTTCTTCCATTATGAATGTAGGTAACAACCCTAATAGTAGATAACAGTATTTGGGACTGTGTCATCAGTGGAAATCTAAGGTATCTTCAAATAACACTTTAGTTACAGATATCTTGAATACTGCTTATGTTCATCAGTACTTTGAAATTATCATTATTTCACTTGCCATTTGGATCTTGTCTTTAATGTATTGATCAAGAAGCTGATAACACTGTATCACAGATATTTAAAACTATTCTTATAAATATTTTAACATCATTGCCATCCTTTATAATCTTGTTTATTTGTTTCATGCATATGAAAACATTGCTCTGAGGGAGGAGTCTGTAGGCTTCACCCACTTGCCAAAGAGATCTACGATACTAGAAGACCAAACACACCTGTAGGAATATCTCCATCTTAAAATAACCCAAACCAAATAAAAACCAAACCTTCTACCTTGATTCCACATCCCTCTCCCCTTTCTACCCAGTGATGCTTCCACTTAGAGAAAGTGCCATGAAGCAGTTATCCATTGCCCTGCTCCAGTGGGCCCCCTGCCACTCCCTCACTGATGTGGGCCGGCCCACACTGGGGCTGCCATAGTCTCAGATCCAGGTTGTCCCACTTGGTCTTCATCTTGCTCCACCTTTTGGCAGAATCCAGCCCAGGTGATTGCTCCTTCCTAGCTTCTGACACATTTGTTCTTCTGGTTTTCCTCCTACCTCACTCTTGACTCCTCATGTCCTGATAAGCTCTTTTTCCTATCACCAACTTCTAAGTATTCCTTTTCCTAGTTGATCTTATATCCCATGGGTTTATTATATTATTATGTTTTTTTGAAACAGGGCTCACTCTTATCACCTAGGCTAAGCTGCAGTGCCATCATCATAAAAACCATGGGACAGGCTTGCTGCAACCTCAAACTCTTGGGTTCAAGTGATCCTCCCTCCTCAGCCTCCCAAGCAGCTGGGACTACACACCTGGCTAATTTTAAACTTTTTGTACCGGCAGGGTCTCACTATGTTCTCTAGGCTATTCTCAATTTCCTGGCCTCAAAGGATCCTCCCACTTTAGCCTCCCAAAGTGCTGGGCTTATAGGTGTGAACCACCATACCCAGCTTTACATTTTTATTTTGAAATAATTTCAGATGTCTATGTTGCAAAAAAATACCACAAAGAGTTTCTGTAGACCTTCCCTCCAATTCCCTGAATGCTAACAGTGTGACTTGTCATTTTTATACATGTGTACACATTACATTTTTTTCCCCTGAACCATTTTAGATTAAGCTGTAGACATGCCAACTGTTAGTCCCCAACTACTTATGTATATTTCATAAAAACAAGGATGATCTCTGCTACAGAACTGTTGCCTAATTTACAAACCTTATTTAAGTTCTACCACTTAAAGCAAGAAAGGAAAATGTGTTCCCTGGTCCAGATTCAGTCCAAGATCACAGGTCGCATTTAGTTGTCATTTCTTTATTTTTCTTAAATCCAGAACTGATTCTCAGTCTATTTTTGTCTTTTAATACCTTTATGCTCTTGAATGTAGATGTTACGTACTTTGTAGAATGCCATCTGTTTGGCTGTGTCTAATGTTTCTACAAACCTGTCCACATGTACTTGCTCATTTTTGGCAGGGTCACCACATCCTTCTCAGGGTGCCACATCAGGCAGTGCGTGATGTCGACTGGTCCCATCACTGGTGATGGTAACTTGATTCGCTTTTCTTTGCTGATCAGTTTTAGTATTTATTGATGATTCTTGCTTCAGTTATTAATGACAGGTGGTGCTTTTCTATAAATTCCTTAATGTCCCTGGTTTTTACTTGTAATTCTGCTCATATCCTGATGATAACTAAATTTATATCTCAACACCTTTCTCTTGAGCTGTAGGCTTCTATCTGCAACTCTGTATATGTATATCCTTAGATGATTTAATATATCCAGAAGGTAACTTTGAACTCCTACCCTTTGGACTCCCAGACCTATTCTTACCCTAGTTTTCCTTACCTCAGGTTATGGCCCTACTAGCTTCTCAGTTGCTTAAACCAAATAACCAGGTGTCAATTTTTTTTTTTTTTTTTTTTGAGACAGAGCCTCAAGCTGTCCCCCTGGGTAGAGTGTGATGGCATCACAGCTCATAGCAACCTCCAACTCCTGGGCTCAAGCGAGTCTTCTGCCTCAGCTTCCCAAGTAGCTGGGACTACAGGCGCCCACCACAATGCCTGGCTATTTTTTTTTGGTTGCAGCTGTCATTGTTGTTTGGCGGGCCCAAGCTGGATTCGAACCCGCCACCTTAGGTGTATGTGGCTGGCACCTTAGCCACTTGAGCCATAGTTGCCGAGCCCAGGTGTCAATTCTTGATTGTGCTCTTTATTCCTCACCCTTAGTGTATCAGTAAATTTTATCTCTTCTATCTTGAAAATCACTCTCTGCTTTTATCCTGCCATCATCATTGTCCATACAGAGGTCACAAAGGGGGGCCTACTGCTGGCTGCCTATTTTGTAAATAAAATATTATTAGAACACAACTGTGCTTACACATGCATATGTTGTATATGGTTACTTCTGTGCTACAGTGGACCCCCATGTGACCCACAAGCCTAAAGCATTTATTGTCTAACACTTTAAGAAAAGTTTGCTGACCTCTGATCTGAGCTGTCATATCTTGCCTGGATAGTTGCTCCTAACTGGTCTGCTCACTTCCCACTTTCACAGTAATCAATATGACTTTTTTATATGAAGCCAATAGCCTTCTAATGGTCTTTCTTACCTTCTTCTAAAGATCTTGCCTTCTAATGGTGTCCATTTGTTCTTGGAAGAAAATAAATTTATGGGCAATAAGAGCTGACATAAACTTGCTCCAGTCTCTTTCTAGCCTGATGTTATATCATTCCCCTTTTGCTCACTGTGTTTTGGCCACAGCAGCTTTCTCGCTGTTCTGCCACCGTCCAACTCAATTCCATCTGGGCATTTAAACTTGTTTCCCTGCCTGACATACTCTTCCCCTAGCTCTGTACATGACTGACAACATTCTCATCCTTCGAATTCTCTGACACAGAGGCCTTTTCTGATCATCTTGTCAGAAGTAGTTCCCTTCACTACAGAACAGGGTGCATCTGCTTGTTCACTGTTAAGTTCCCCATGGCAGTAAAATGCTTGACACAATAAAAGAGCCAAGTAAATGATTTGTGGAAAGAAGAATGAATGAATGAATGAACACATTTCAAAATTACTTACCTTTTCTTTTGATTCTTTTGTCATGAAATTAAATATGGTAAAACTCTCCTGAGTAATTTAGACTCTGGTGTATTAAAAGTTTTTTAAACAATTACTTCTGTTAATGCATTCTTTTTTAAATTATGTTTAGGAATTCCATATTTAAATCAGGAAGAAGAAAGACAGTTAAGAGAGCAGTATGACGAAAAACGTTCTCAGGCCAATGGTGCATATGTATCTCCTAACGCTTCAAAATGTCGTTTGACAATTCCTGAGGACCAGAAGAAATTTATTGACCAAGTGGTGTAAGTTCTAAACTATAAATAAACAGGCATTTCATAACGTGTATTGGGGCAGGACACCTGTGCTGCATACACATAGTATATCGTGAGTGGCTGGATTTCACTGTGGCATATCTAAATTTGTGCAACAGCAGCAAGTTATAAATAGTGTACTATGTACATGGACTTGGTACATGTCACTAGGCAACTGACCTCAGCACAAGGCAGACCTGCATGCACTGAGGGCCTGACACCCACTGTCCTGTCTCCCTGAAGGCAGAGGAGTAGATTGGACCCACGCATTCTGCAACACGTCCATGTTTATCTCTCTCGCAGGGAAGTTTCTGACAAGCAGGTGTGCTGTTAGAAGTGTATGTGTATCTGGTGTATCTGGTCCTGCTCAGTATAAGTGCTTTACTACAAAAGTAAAGATTTAAATCATTTGTATTGACAAATCCTTGAGAAGTTGTTCCTAATTCATTAATCGCCTCTAAAAGAATATCCAGAATAAAGCATTTTTAAAAAAAGTTTTTGGACTAAAAAGTTATAGCATGATTTGGCAAAATTACATTGTCACACGTTCTTGTAGTTAGACTACTTTTAGATATGATTATTTTGTTGGTTGACTACTTCATTCCCTGAAGGTACTGATGGTCATGATCTATTCTAATTCCTCAGAGAGAAAATTGAAGATTTATTACAAAGTGAAGAAAACAAGAACTTGGATTTAGAGCCATGCACTGGGTTAGTTGTCCTGAACATTTTCTTGTGTCCTTTTTTAAAAGCTAGATGATTTCTGGCATTTGATGCACTTGGTCTTTTAAAAACACCTTTATAAATAGCCTTTTTATTGTAGGCATGTTCTCAAGATTTATGTGCTAACTTTAGCACTACTCAATGAGGATGATTATGTATTGAGACACTGAATGAACACTTTGTCCTGTACCTGGAAGGGAGAAAAGCTGTGCAACTTTGACTCTGAGTTATGCCCAAGAATGGCATCATTACTTTGGCTTTGGGGAGTGCTAAATACACAAAGCCTGCAGAAGATAAGAATTCACTTGCCAGGCCTCTTCTGTTCTTTTCTCTTTGTAGTAAAAAACATCAGCATTTCAGAGAGTCAGTAACTTGAACATCTTTTTTCTCTTTTACTTTGTGACGAGCTTCACAAGAGGGTCGTAATGCGTCAATATACTTTAAACTTTCTTTATACAGCCACAGGAAGTAATATTTTCATTAGACAAGAATTTCTACCTCTTCTTTAAAAGCAGTATAATAATATTAAGGACATTTTTGAAAAGACAAGTGATGAGGAATTTTCCTACCTCAAACATTCTATTTTCTTTTTCTTTGATTCTTTTCTTTTTCTTTTTTTTTTTTTTTTTAGATAAATCTCTGATAGCTTGCTTTGTCACTCAGACAGAAAGACAGAAGTCTAGCTATTGCTCAGATTTGGCTTGAACTTCTGGCCTCAAGTGATCTTCCCCCTTTGGCCTCCCAAAGTGCTAAGATTATAGAAATGAGCCACTGTGCCTGGCCCATCCTGCCATTTTTATTTGCTTGTTACCTGTCAGTTCTTTTTTTTTTTTTTTTTATTGAATGGTAACTGTGTACATTGATGCACTTTGGGGGTACAGTGTGGTGTTTTCATACATAATCCAAGACACTTCCATCAAACTGGTCAACATAGCCTTCATGTAGACCTGTCAGTTCTAATGAAGTCTCTTTTTAAAATGAAATCTTTCCTACCATTGCTGATAAGTTAGGGTTTACTTTTAATGAGCCAAGATTAATACTTTTTCTTTTATTCTTATAGGTTCCAAAGAAAACTAATTTATCAGACTTTGAGCTGGAAGTAAGTGTTTATATTGCATGCAAGAGTTCTTTGAGGGACTCAAGACTTAAAAACTAAATATAATCTCTTAGCTCTTATTTCCTTTTGAAATTCTACAGTTCTTGGTGATTTGAAGATACAGGTTCCTCCTACTTTCTTAAGTTTAATATCAGCTTATTTGTTTTCTTTATTATTACTTTCTAATAGATGCTTTAAAGCCTCTTAAAATTTGTTTTAATTATCACAGTGGCCTCATCCATTAAGCTGCAGATATGCAGTGTGTTTTTTTGAAGGTATATTGTATAATACAAATTTGGTTTTTAAGACCTTGGAAATAGGTGCTTTTTCTAAAGCAGAGGTTCTTAACTTGCAGTTAAATTTTGGATGGGTTTCAAGAGATCTGTGAATCTCTTAAAGTACCTAAAATGTCCAGTATTTTTTGGCTGTGTTTTGTTTTGTTTTTGAGACAGAGTCTCAAGCTGTCGCCCAGGGTAGAGTGCTGTGGCATCACAGCTCACAGCAACCTCAAACTCTTGGGCTTAAGTGATTCTCTTGCCTCGGCCTCCCAAGTAGCTGGGACTACAGGTGCCTGCTACAATGCCTGGCTATTTTTTGGTTGTAGTTGTCATTGTTTTTGGCAAGCCTGGGCTGGATTTGAACCTGCCAGTTCCAGTGTACATGGCTGATGTCCTGGCCACTGAGCTGTTGGCACCCTAGCCACTGAGTTACAGGTGTGGAGCCCTGTGTGTGTATTTTTCCTAGCATGTTTCTCTTGGTTTCATTGTTTTTGCAGGTGGGTCTCTAACTCAAAAATTGAACGTGGCCTTAGGACAGGTGGACATTTACATTTGCCTTTGGGGTCCTTATTCTTCTATTGGAATTTGCCAGTAACATTTATTCTGGGAATATACTTTGAACAAAACAGGACGAGGCCATCATTTAATTTTCACAGGCTCCTTTCCTGTTGTGTTACACTTGCAACTTAACTCCATGTGCATTCCAGGTCTCTCACCACCAATGTAAACTACTATACCAAATTACAGAAAAGCTAGCCATCTTAGACTTCCTTTCTGTATACCCCGTGCAATCTAAAAAGACCTTCAAATTTTCAGTTAGGAAATAGACATCTTTGGAAGCAAGATTTGACTGTGTGGTAATAAGTTGACTGAATTATGAGATGCAGTACATTTTAGAAAACACTCAAATCCTTAAAATTAATTTGAAGTCAAGTACATTCCTATATGTTTAGGAAACCATTTAGCAGCTGAAATGTGGAATATGCTTATTATCAAGTCTTCATTGTAGAGATAATTATTTCATACTTAATAAAACTTATTTTACTTAGTTTATAGCTAGATAGTTGCTTTTAATAGACTTTGGGTTTTAGTTGTCATTGAGTCGTCTACTGATACTGTATTTTCCTTCTTCTCTTTAGGTATCCCAAAGGCATTCATGTTGAGACTTTAGAAACTGAAAAGGTAACCCCATGAAGTTCTCCAGGGCTAACATTAAACACAGCCAATGATACGTCCATGTGTTGAAAGTCAGAATGTCCACCTTGGCTCTGCTACGTGTGAGCTGGGTGACCTTGGGCAAGTCATTTATTTAACCTCTCAAGCTTCATTTTCTTCATTTGTACTTTGGGGCTGAGCATGATAATGATGATTTACATCTGTCTCAAAGCCTTTTTATGATAACCTCATGGGTAAACAGAAGTGAGCGTGCTTTGTAAACTTGAAAGTACGTAAATGTTAGTTCATATTCTTATTCTGGCAGAAAAATGAAAAGTTAAATCACTTGTATTAATAAATCTTTGAAAAGTTGTTACTGATTCACTAGTCCCTCCCAAAAGAATATCCAAAATAAAGTATTTTTCTATATGTCTTTAAACTACAAAGTTATGGCATGATTTGGTAGAATTACAAGTACTATGGCTTTATGTTATGTGGGCAGGTAAAATTAAATTCAGGTCTAGGTCATAAGCATCGCTACTGTCATGTATTCCCAAGGTGCACTGGGCGGCTAGTGGTGGGTTCCTTTTGTAAAACTTTTGAATTTAAAAATTTGGATTTTTGCTCTCAAGTTAGATATCAAATTAGAAATTAAATAAATTGAAAACAGTCTTGCTAGAAGATAAGTCTCAAACTTTGACATAGAAGGTTTTATGGTATGTTTAATAGATTCTATATAAAATGCAGTATATGAGGAAGAAAACCCTAGTTATCTGACACATTACCAGAAAATCCAGGGTTTTTTTTTCCTTATGCTAACAAAATATATAATAGAACCTTCATAGTTGACCACTTCCTTTCATTGACCACTTCCTTCTGCACCACATAGATGTCTCAGTCCAGCAGACCTCATTCCGGATATTGACCACTTCCATATATTCACCAGTTGTTTGCAGTCTCTTGGATGGTCACCTTACAGAAGTTCTACTGCATAGAAATTTTACTTTAAAACTAGTTACTTAGAAATTCATACTCAAATGCAGCATAACTTTTTAAGTATGTGTCATAAAAAATGTCTTTTTCTCACAGTCTATTGATATTTTTAACTGATGTCTGTTGGGTTGATGTAGTAAACCATGGGAAAATGTCATGGAAACAGAGAGGCAAAGTTTTGGTTTGTATGCAGCTTTTGTTGGCATTTCAGAATGCTTTATGTTGTTTGGCCCGTGAAAGACTGCACAGTGATCCCCAAACTATAACTTGTAATGATAGCAGAATTCTGAATTTTGGGGGTCAAGTTGCTTCCAGAAAATTAGATATCTGTTTTGTCTTTTAGAAGGAGCAATATATAGCTATCAGCAAAGTAGATGAAGAAGAACGCAAGAGAAGGGAGCAGGAGAAGCACGCAAAAGAGCAGGTAACTGGGCTGCACAGATTTCTTTACAGTGAGTGAGAAAGGGCATGATATCTTCTGATTCATTCCTTTCTCTGTATTTCTAGAGCATTTGTTGGATTCAATTACATGAATAGTTTTCTACTATGGAAGAATGATTTGTTAAGAAAAACTAGACTAGAATAAGGGAAAGTTAAGTTTAAGCTTTAGGCATAGACAGCCAAGGGAGTCTGATACCATGGTCGACCAGTGTGCACTTGAACGAAGCAGTCTTAAAGGGAGTATTTCTGGATCATTCAGCTTGTTTGTCACTAGCATCACTGCCCATTACCTAATACTCCCATGTCTAAGTTTATTTATTACTGGTTTTCCTAAAACAAAGTTCAGGACATGTAATCTGACAGATTAGGATATAAGATGCTCTTATCTGCATTGTTGGAACATTATCACTCTGGTTTCCGTTTAAAGAATGGATTTGCAGGAGTAAGACTTAGAGGCAGGAAGCAAGTTCAGGTGTAGAATAATAGCTAAGTGATAGTGGTGACCTGGAACAGGATAGTTAGCAGTGTGAGTGAAATCTGGAGATTAATTTGGAAGGTAGAATCTGTGGAATTAAGATGGGATGTGGGTGTGGAAGGGGAAGGGAGAAGAAGGAAGACACTCAAGCCCTTGCACAGCTGGATTGATTGTGGTCACTTCAGGTAAGTAGAGTTGGTTGGAGTGACAGTGGTGAGGGAAAAGGATGGAGGAGGCAGGAGTGGATTTGAGTATGGATGAATGTCCAGTTCACACATATATATGGCAGGGCCACCCCTGACTTCTTCAGCCAGTAAAGACACAGTGAAGCACTTTCAGATTTAGATAGTTCTTTACCCACAGAGAGGAAGGAAGATTTGCAGAAGGTGTCAGCTGCCTGTGGTCCTTGTCCTGCATACCAAAAAGGACAACACAAACACCAGGCCAGATGACTGCAACGTGAGTTGTGGATGTCCCATTATAAGGAACCAGTTCTAGATCGTAGCTCTTTCTGAGCAACCATACTCCTTAGAACCTGTGACAGCTTCCCAGGAATGCTAACAGAGTGGGTAGGAGATGGCCTCAGAACAGCTCCTTATATACCTCTGTCTCCCACCCCTTCCTCCTGAGGCAGTCTGCCAAGACACACTGGTCTGTGTCCAAGGCCCAAATCAGCCTTTACCTGCATTGCCTATTTGGAAAGCAAGGTCACTCACCAGGAAACCATGGCGAGACTATTCCCCTCTAGTGGAAGAAGACATTACATTTTGGGTTTTTAGGTGTCTTTGGGATATTCAAGGCTGGATGTCCTGTCAGCAGATTTGTCAATCCTGAGCACAGGAGAAAGGTGGTAACTAGACATGGCTGTCACTGGAAGAGTCACCAAGGCTGGATCAGAGCACCCATAGACTATGTGAGGAATGAGGGTAGATTCCTGAGGAGCACCAGCATTTAAAGATGGACAGAAGTAGAAAAAAGTACCAGGAAATTATTGTGAAATGTAGCCAAGGGAAGAGAATGTTTAGAGAAAGGGGTAGTCTACAGTGTCAGATGCTTTGAGAGGTAAGGATAGTGGCCATTGGACTTCACCTTGGGAGTTGTTTGTTATTTTTTAAATATACTTTAAATTTTTTAAATTTTTAATTATAAAATATATACAACATAAAACTTATCATCGTAACTATCTTTAAGTGTGTAGTTCAGTGCCATAAAGTACATTCACATTACTGTATAATCATTACTACCGTTCATCTCCAAAATTTTCATCTTGCAAAACCAAAACCCTATACTCATGTAACAACTCCCTGTCCCCACCCCCTGCTCAGCCCCTGCTAGCCACTATTCCTCTCCTTTCTTTTTTTTCTTCTTTTCTTTTTTCTTTTCTTCTTTTTCTGGTTTAGACAGGGTCTTCCTCTGTCACCCAGGGTAGAATGCAGTGGCACCTCAAACTCCTGGGCACAAATGATCCTCCTATCTCAGCTGGAACTACAGGTTTGCACCACTATGCCCAGCTCATTTAGGTTTTTGTAGACACAGAGTTTCACTGTGTTGCTCGGGCTAGTCTCCCAACTCCTGGGATTACAGAGGTGAGGCCCTTTGAGTATTTGTCCTTTTGTGACTGACTTGTTTCTTTTAGCAATGTCCTCAAGGTTCATCCATGCTATAGCATATGTCAGAATTTCCTTCCTTTTTCAGGCTGAATAATTTTCCATTGTATGGGTGTATTGCACTTTGTTAAATCACTTGCTGATGGACATTGGGTTGCTTTTGGCTGTTGTGAATATTGCTGCTATGCATGTGGGTGTACAATATCTGGGTCCCAGCTTTGAATTCTTCTAACTGTATATACCTAGAAATGGAACCACTGGGTGATTTGGTAATTTGGGGGGGGGGGGCTCCATTAGTGTTTTCCTTAGCAGCTGCACTGTTTTACATTCTCACCAAGAGTGCACAAGGGTTCCAGTTTCTCTACATCCTTGTTACCCTTAGGATTAGTTTTAAGGAAGTGAGCAGCTTCAGTGAGGGTAAAGACAGAGAGCAGAGGGCTGGATGCACCTGGGAGTTAAGCCTGAGCTGCTGTGTGAAGAGAAGTCTTTCAGCAAGTTAGCTGTGATGAGAGGAGGAGATGGGGCAGTAGTTTGGAGCTAAGGAAGAGTTTTCAAGATTGCCTGTTTAACACTACTTGAAAGAAAATAGGAGAGAAGAAGGTGAGTGGGGATGAGTCACAGAGTCCTGTGCTGTAAATATTTTGTAAAAGATGTATTTGTTAAGGAAAAAAGTCAGGAATTATGAGAACTTGATTTGATCAGTTAGCTGCTGGTTGGGTTTCCTTAGAAATGCATTATTGCATTTAGCCAGCAGATAGTGACTTTTTAAAGTTTGTTTTTGAGATACTTTGATTTGGAAATTTCAACAAATTATCTGAAGTGATAGATAAATCCTCACATTGTTATTTCAGTAATCAATGAATAATTTCCCAGTTGCTTATTTTACTTTCTAAAACAAAGGAAAGGTGTATATAACAGATCTTTTTAGATGTGGTTGTTTGGAATATCAGGCGCAAAGCACATGAAACTAAAGCTGTCTAACTTGATATGAAATTCATGTGGGGGCTTTTTTTAACTTCCTTCAATTAAGGGAATATATGTACATCAATAGTGGGTTTGTTTGTTTTTAATTAGGAGGAACTGAACGATGCTGTGGGATTTTCTAGGGTCATCCATGCCATTGCTAATTCGGTAAGTAAACCTCTTTTTCTTTCTAGCTAGATTGCTGAATGTAATATTTAAGATGAAGCATCTAATTATCATTGCAGATTAACCATTTGGTCTAATTTAGAATGTTTCCGTGGTATGGATGAAGAAGTTAGAACTTCATCAAAAAAGACTATAGTTACAATGCCCTTGGTAAGAGACATCCTAATTTTTGTATTGTATTCAAACCATTTTTCAAGAAGCCTTGCTCATAAAACGTATAGGTGGATTATACTACAATGTCCTTATATGGCTATATGAAACCAGAATACTGGTTATTCTGAAAACCAGTAAGCAGTAGAATAAGAAAGTAAGGAGTAAGGGAAGAAACAGTCAGATGCCTGACTGAAGATGTTTTGTTTCCCAAGTAGAAGAATGCAAGGGATAAAAATAATGATGTTTCTATTGAGTTGTGCACAAATGTTATTGTGTCCTATATCTAATAGCCTTAATAATAGTTGATACCTTTTAAAAACGTGTTGGCCACTAATATAAATGTACTAGAGGGCTCTGTGGAGGACAAGATAGATGCTTCTCCTTGATGTGGGAGTCCTTTGCACCTGCGATTTGCATAGGCAGCCTGGGTGTTGTTGCTGGTTATTCTAGGCATATGCCTACCCAGACTGCCTAGAGCAGGCGTCCTCAAACTATGGCCCGTGGGCCACATGTAGCCCGCTAGGACATTTATCCGGCCCGCTGGGTGTTTTTGCCGCCATTGCCTGTCCTGCTTAGCAGCTGACTTGTCCCAGAGCCTGTAGTCTGGCCCAATGGTCTGAGGGACAGTGAACTGGCCCCCTGTTTAAAAAGTTTGAGGACCCTTGGCCTAGAGCCTCAGATGTCTTTTCCTTGAGCAGTTTGCCCTGGGAAAAGGAATCACCTTGTTCCTTAGATTTCTGACCATCAGGGAAGCTTTAAGACCATAGAGACTCTCAAGAATTCTGTGCCCATCTCATTACCAGAGTTAACCTTATAAATATAGGATGGTGGAGGGAAGATACACCCCTGTCCTTGTTCAGGGATAAACAGAAGTTACAGAGGCTTGTAAAAGAAGAGGCTTGGCTCACCAGGAACTCTCTTGCTGAAATAGGTGAGGTAATGAGAGTGGAAGAGAATCACTGGGTGAGCCTGGAGAGGAACAAGATATGAGCCTCTTCAACAGTGGCTAAGGTCACACCTACTCAGAAAAGCAGAGATTGGGCTTCTGATTACATTTGCTCATGTTGTACACACTTTGCCAGCAGACTTCAAATAAGTGGTTAGTTTGACTGAAGCTGTCCCTAAAACACAGAGACATGGTACATCAGTTGGCTTTTAGCTCTCTTTTAGCCATCATGATATTAATATTTTAGCTAGTTAGCTGTTCCAAGATTGGGATATCTGTTTGCCTTTTACAAATTCAGACCCCTCAGCTTGCTCTGCCTTTATTGGCTGTTTTCTGGCATCTTTCTTCTATGGGAATAAGACATAGTATGTTGCCAACTGTTGGTGGTTAACAGCACAAAGCTATGAGAAGAGCTCTGTTCATTAGTGATTCAGACATTTGAAATGATAAGTCACTTTAAAATATTAATATAGTTAATCTCTACAAAGCCAGTAAACAGTAAACATTTATGTCACACCACATTTTGTTCCAGTTAAGAATCCTTCTGTATGGTTTTTAGAAACTTTTTATTTTATTTTAATTTTACATTCACAGAAAAGTTGCTGAATAGTTCAGAGTTTCCATTTATCACCTACACAACTACCCCTAATGTTAACATCTTACATACCCATTGTATAGTTATCAGAACCAAGGAATTAACTGGCACAGAATTAATGGGTGAAACTGAAGACCTTGTTTTAATTTTACCAGTTTTTCTACTAAGTCTTTTTTTCTTTTAATGATTCTACCTGGAGTCCCACATTGTGTTCACTTATTTCCCCCTGGTGTCCTATAGACTTTTAGCAGGCTTTCGTTCATAACCTGGGTACCTTCCACAAATATTGATTGGTGTTTTGTTAAATATCCCTCAGTTGGGATTTGTCTGATACTTTCTCATGATTAAACTAAGGATATATGGTTTTGGCAACATGGTTAAAGTGATGTCTGCTGGATTTGTGTTCTGTGAAGCTACTATTTTTCTTTTCTTTTCTTTTCTTTTTTTTTTTTTTTTTGAGACAGAGTCTTACTGTGTCACCCTCGGTAGAGTGCTATGGCATCACAGCTTGCAGCAACCTCAAACTCTTGGGCTTAAGAGATTCTCTTGCCTCAATCTCCCAAGTAGTTGGGACTACAGGTGCCCACCACAACGCTTGGCCATTTTTCTGTTGCAGTTGCTTAGTTGGACCAGGCCGGGTTCTAACCTACTACCCTCAGTGTATGTGGCTGGCACTATAACCACTGTGCTACGGGTGCCGAGCCAAAGCTACTATTTTTCCTCTGTTTTTAATAAAATATCTTGGGAAGAAACTATGGAAAATCCAATTTTTTCTCAAACTTTTGCCCTCTAATACTACCATCTCTCAGTGGATCTTCCCTGCAGTATTACTACCTGTGATATTCTGATGGCGAGGTTATAGTTCTCTCTTTCTACGCCTGTTCTTGGAATTCTTCCATAAGCGAAAGCTATTTCTTTTCTCAGTTTCCTTAATCATTTTTATGTAAATGAGTATGGACTCAGCAACAATTATTCTACAGATTATAATTCATTATTTTATGTATTTTGTTGCTCAAATTATACCACCTTTGGCTATTGGAGCTCCTTTGGCTTGGCTCCTATATCCTTTGAACAAGCTCCCATCCTTTTTTGAACACTTATTACTTTCTAGCTCAGTGCTTCTCAACCTTCCTAATTCCATCATATATTATCATTGTTACAAAGGGGTCATGACCCATAGGTTGAGAACTGCTGTTCTAACTTTACAAGATGTTCCAGGTTCATCTTGTATTTTCCCTGACTTGGCAGTGGAATCAATAACTTTTCCAAGGAGCTATGGTTCCTTTTACTGGAGAAGTATCTAGAAACCAAGACTGGTCCTGGGGTATTATCATGATATCTTTGCCTCTAGGCCCTCTCCCTAGACAGGGCTGAAAATGGTATTTATGTGTAACTGCGTATACATGTGCGGCTGCGGTGTGTGCGTGTGTCTACGTCTGTATATTCATGCCTTCACATGCACAGCTCAGATTCCAGTACAACACCACAGGGTTTATTGGTAGCTTTCTCTCTTTTCTTATTTGTTAACTTCTCTCTCAATGGTGAGAAATCCAGTTCTTATTATCTACATTATAATGTAGGTTTATTTAAAACTAGTGTGCATTTATTTTCAGAACTACTCACCCACACCTTATGAGAAGCACATTTATCGACTAGATTACAGCATCCATGTGCAGGTTGTTTTGTCTTCAGCCTTATGGACTCTAGTTAGGTGCCGTTTTCCACGTTAGTTTTTCTTGCCAGTCCCCTTCAGTGTGGTCCTGGTGTTCATTCACAGTACAGTTAGGTGCACTTTTTAGTGCTGTATTTCGTTTTGGGTTTTCTGCCCCTCTTGTGGTTTCAGTCAATGCTCAGCGTTTTAGCCCTGGATGGGTGTTCAGAGTGTGCACACACTGACCCACAGGACAGCTTGTCTGTGAGACTTGGGAGGTTTTAATAGGGTGATTTGTTTCAGAGCATTATGTTTAGTCCTGTGAATCAAGCTGTGTTATGCTGATAGTCTGTAAGGACCTGATGTTTTGTGTTAAAAATGTTGCCACCTGGCTAGCTAAATCCAAGTTGAGGTTCCATTTTGGTAGTTTAATTTAAAAATATCAAAATGGAGTAATTTGTTGCCTATGTATTGTGAGACTCAGTTGCTTACTGTGCCAAGAGGGCTGCCAGCATGTATATTGTATTTCAGTTGGTTGAAAAGCAGTAATTTTAATGGATGTGTGTTTAAGAACATGCTCCATGAAATTTGACATAGATGATGTAGGAAATGAAAATTCATTCTGTTTAATATAGTTAGAAATTAGATATTTTTACATTGTAGCATTGATATGAGTGTATCTTTTAAGATAAGTGGGTTGTTTTAAAGAATACAATTCTAAATTAGATATTTTGAGTTTTGTCCACAAATTATTTGACAGTTGAGGGGCTCTGTGTTTTCAGATTTTACCTTTAAAAAAATTCTGACTCCAAATTTACTGCTACTAATTCTTGAAGTAGCCATGATTAATAAAAATCAGAGAAAAATATCAATAAGATCAAAATTATTTGGAGCTTTTACTTTGCATTTTGGACTTAACACTCCACATTTGAAGAGAAATGAAGCCAAGCCAAATTATTTACATGTATTTGTACTTCTTTTAATGTGGAAAAGCAAGTTTTGTACAAAATCCTCATGGAATCTGAACCCTACATTTATTCTTAAACCCCAGTATAATTTTGTACCTAGAAGTATTTTCTTCTGACCTTGACTCTCTTTAGGGGAAACTTGTTATTGGACACAACATGCTCTTGGATGTCATGCACACAGTGCACCAGTTCTACTACCCCCTGCCTGCGGTAAGTGGCTTGTCAGCCTGCATTAAAAGTACATGATGGGCGGCACCTGTGGCTCAAAGGAGTAGGGCACTGGCCCCATATGCTGGAGGTGGCAGGTTCAAACCCAGCGCTGGCCAAAAAACTGCAAAAAATAAAAAATAAAAGAATATGAAATATTTATTTAAAAAAAAGAAGTACATGATGCTTTTTTACTAAGAAAATGTTCTATTTGGGTGCTGTTTCCTTGTATGCAGTATGTTCCCAGAGAAAAGAGTGTTATGCACTTGGTTGTACATATTTGACATGATGTACATACAGGCTATTTTAAGGGATCTATAGTCACTGCCGTTGTCAACATTTGTTTCATGGTACTGGTGGTTTGCTCATTTAGTGCTATGTAGGGATTCCTAGACCACAGGTATGGGCCGCTAGTTTGCTACTGTTAAAACTATACATAACAGGACCACTGAAGGGAATGCTTTCAGCTAAGCCAGATCGGGTCCTTCGTAATTCTCAATTGCCTCCTGCTAGGCACTTCCCAGGTTCTGTGTTGACCTACCTCAGTGGTGGTTTGCACTCTGAGCTGAGTTGTCTCAGTTCACCAAACCCCAAGTTTCTTTGGTTCCTTTTCTGGCTCTTCCTGTCCTGCTTGTTCACTGTGCACAGGGCCTCATCTCATTTGCCCTCCCATTACTCTGTGTTCTACTTTGATTTTTTTTTTTTTTTAAGAGACAGTTTTACTTTATCTCCCTCAGTAGAGTACCATGGCGTCCCAGCTCACAGCAACCTCCAGCTCTTGGGCTTAAGTGATTCTTTTGCCTCAGCTTCCCGAGTAGCTGGGACTACAGGTGCCCGCCACAACGCCCGGCTATTTTTTTGTTGCAGTTTGGCCAGGACCAGGCTCAAACCCCCCACCAGTGTATGGGGCCAGTGCCCTACTCACTGAGCCACAGGCACCACCCTCCACTTTGATTTTCTCTCCATATTTTCTTTTAGTGATCTCATCCACCATGTTCATAACTTCAGCTATATACATCAACATCTTTATTCCCAGCTGTCCTTTCTGCTCAGGTCTGGTCTACATTCCATGCTGGGCTCTAGCTGTCTGCACCTGAATAGCCCTCAGACTAAGTGTTGTTAGAATGGAAGTGTCTCAAATGAGATATTTAACTTACACTCCCTTTCCTTCCTTTTTACCATCTCCAAGACAGTTCTTCCTCCTCATTCCATCTCTGAAAATGAGCCCCAGTTTTTTGACTCTTCCTCTGTTCCCAGATCTAGTCAGCTACAAAATGCTGACAGTGTTGTTCCCATGCTGTGTCTCATATCTAGGTTCTTTTCTTTCTGCTGCAAGCAAGCAAGCCTTCTATTATTCACCTGAAGTTTAGCAACTCCAGGCAGGCTTCCTGTCCCCCTTCAACCTTCAACCCACACTTAAACCAGAATTTAGCAAAATTTTTCTTTAAAGGGCCAGATAGTAAAATATTTGGGGCATTCCAGTCTCTACAGTATTTGTCATAACTCTCAACTCTTCCTTCTAGCACTAATACAGCCATAGAATACATAAACAAGTGGGTGTGGCTGTGTTGCAGTAAATTTTATTTTAGAAACAGGTGCTCAGCCACATTTGGCCTGCTGGTCATAGTTTGCCAACTCTTATTTTAAAGTAAAACCAGATTGTATTAATCTTTTGTCAGTTTTTTATTGGAAGCATGCTTGAGAGCTGGGTTTCATTCATACACCTGCAAACCTTTAGTAACTTCACATTTCCTCCATCACATTGCTCTACTAGCATCATGGTCATTCAGGCCATGAGTGTAAGTGGGCCTGTTGCTCTTCTTGTCCTGTTTCTGCAACCTTAAGTTGTCATCACTTTTCATGACAATTCTATCACTTTCTGGGACTCAAAGGCTTCATAGTTGTGAGTCTCAAACCAAGTATGACAGATGGATTTGCATTTTTTAAATCTAATGAGCTTAATGTTTATTTCAGATCAACCACTTCTTGTTGGCCAGATAGACGAAGGTAGCAGCTCCTCCCTTGACTTTTTGACCTTTAAAGCAATGAAGTTATTAGTAAGGAAAGTGTATTTAATACTGTGTCTCTGGGTGTTTTGAATACCAAATATAACTTGACACACATGAGTTCTTAAATATTGACTTAATGAATGAAATGTCTTTTTACTGTGCCAGTTTTGTAATCTTCTGATGTATGGCTCTGTTCACATCACTGACTCTGCTCAAAATTCTAAAGTAATCCCACATTCCTTGTTTTTCTGTACAGTTGACTCTCTTTAACCTGGCATGTCAGGCTTTCCATCATCTGTATAGTCTAACCTCTTTTATTACTCTCCTTCCCAACTGGCTCATCTGTTACTTGAGAAATGCTTTGTGTTTTCTTAGATGTGTGGTTTTGGTGTATAATTTCCTCCAAGTTGAATTTTCTCCAGCTTTCCTCAGTGTCTGCTCTACACACCTTTACCTTATCTGTGCATGGTCCAGCTCCTGCCTCCTCTGTGAAGTTCATCCTGCCTGCTGCCTTGCCCAGGAGGTGATCTTTCCTTTCTCTGAATGCCCACAAAACTTTGTACCTCTATGGTACAAAATATTTGTCTTGTGTTGTACACCATAACCCCTCTTCTCCTTCCAGGTGGTTAGCGCCTTGGACAACACGTATAGCCTTTTTATTGTGTCTAAATGCCTAGCACAGTTGTATGTAAGCATTTAATGAATGTTAAACTGAATGAAGCAGGTCTTGAATTGAATTCTGGTACAAAGAGCACGTGACTTGTTGCAGACAAGAAGCAGGCTAGGGTGAGCAGATTTTCCCTTGCTTTATGACTAAGGGTACCTTAGTACTTAAACCTTTTATGTGCTGGCATAATCAGAGGGAGAAAATGTTTTTTCTTCCATCTATTTTTGGAAAAAGTGATGAGAATAAATGAGAAAGTCTGTTTAAAATGGTATAACTAGCGGATGCAATGACATGCACTCATAGTCCCAGCTACTCTGGAGGCCAAGGCAGGAAGAGGATCACTTGAATCTGGGAGTTTGAGTCCAGCCTGGGCAACATAGCAAGACCCTGTCTCTTCAAAACAAAAAAAAGAAAAGAAAAGAAAAAGAAGTAGAACTTTGGCATGTACTGGCACCAAAATGTGCATTTAAAAGGACACCAAGAATCCATATTTTGGAGCTGCCTTTTAGGGAATGTCTCTTCTTTTATACAAGCTGTCATGGTACTTGAACCTGACCTTTTAGAAGGCACTGGTCTAGACCTCTGCTATGAGCTGGCTTTAGAGGCAGCTATAATTCTCCATATCCTTGTAAAGCTCTGTAGTGACATTGAGAGATGATAGTCATTATTGCACTTTTGTTTGGTTAGCATCAAAACCACTCGATTATGTATTGCCCATTAACTTAACTATAGCCATTGAAAAGCTGGTAAACATTTCAAGCCTGCCAAATACTGTTTGTATTTATAAACCTGAAAAGCTAATTGGAAATAGCAGTTTGCTGTGAAACATAACTAACATTGCAGAGAAGTGTAGTTTGCAAAGAGTTGGGAGTATGACTAGTCAGTCTGATGTGGCAACTGTGGGGAAGGGAGGGGGGAGGGTGGGTGGAGGGAGGGTTATTGGTGGGGCCACACCTATGGTGCAACTTGCAAGGGTACATGTGAAACTTACTAAATGTAGAATATAAATGTCTTAACACAATAACTAAAAAAATGCCATGAAGGCTATGTTAACCAGTTTGATGAAAATATTTCAAATTGTATATAAAACCAGCACATTGTACCCCATGACTGCATTAATGCACACAGCTATGATTTACTAACACAAAAAAAAGATGAAAAAAACAGAATTAGAACACTCTTATTTCAGCTGTAAATTTTCTGATCACAATAAACTTGGGAAATGAAGTGTCTAATGTAGGTACTTGTGTTAGTACCATGTTAGAACAGGAATTATGTACTGAAAAGTCTGTGTTTTAGTGGCCATTTTTGCTAACATTTTAGACGTGATTTCAATAAAGGCCTAAGCTAGTTTATAATTTATCCATTTCCTGTAATTAAAACCATCTAATGTAAATGACTCACTAGTCTCACTATTATGACAAATTCGTGTAATAGAGTACAGCCTGTTAGGAATTACTATGTTTTTGGACTTCCTATCAGCCTCTCAAATATGTAGTCTTTTACATACATATAATAGGGCACCCCATCCCAATTTCAGCTTTATAATCTTTAAATTTGTCTGTTTTGGTAATGTAAAAGTTAGTTATCAGGTCATGTGGTTCCAAATCCATGAGGAAATTGGGAAGATTTTTTCAAAGTAATTATTAACTAGAAATGCATTTTTCATTTAGCTTAAGACTTGTGTGATGTATGACAGTTTGAGAAGATAGCTGTGGAACTATTTACATGTTTTTTTAATATTATGAGTGTATTAGGAAAATTGTAACAAGTCATTCTGTTGTTTATTTAGGACTTAACTGATTTTAAAAAGATGACAACATGTGTTTTCCCCAGGTGAGTTTTCCCTAAGGATTTGTCTTTCATTTAAAACATTCACTGTGACATACACAATATAAGTAAGTGTATAGTAATTTATTAAAACTCTTAGGTCAGGATTAGAATCTAGTTGGTGTAAGCCTGGAATCGTCACAAGCCTCCAACCTTGTGAAGGTTTTCTTTTGAAATCTATGATTGGAGTCGGGCAATGTAGTTCATGTCTGAAATCCTAGCACTTTGAGAGGCCGAGGCAGGTGGATTACCTGAGCTCAGAAGTTCAAGACCAGTCTGCTGAGCAAGAGTGAGACCCTATCTATATTAAAAATAAAAAAAAAAACTAGCTGGGCATTGTGGTGGGAACCTGTAATCCCAGGTACTGGAGAGGCTGAGGCAAGAGGATTGCTTGAGCCCAAGAGTTTGAGCTTGCTGTGAGCTATGATGTATGATGCCATGGTGCTACCAGGTAAGACTTATAAAAAAAAAACAAACCATAAAATTTAGGATTGGTTTTGTTACCTTGTTAAAAATCAGTTTGAGCTGAGAGTCAAAGTAGACAGCAGCTCATTTTTTTAAAATCATGTATCTTGCTATCTGAAGAACTGGTGACAATTCCTTGGGATGGCTCTTGTCAGGCTTAAGTGTAGCATATACCTTTTACCTATTGAAGTGTTCAATTCAGACTAGTCCAGTCAGTCAAGAACTGTCTGGATAGAGAATTTTTTTCCTCTACTTTAAGTCAGTGCCTTTTTCTGTTAGTGTTTTCCACAGTTAATATTACATGTTTTGCTGTGTCACATGTCACATCTCTGATAGTTCTCTTGTCAGCCATATGGTGCCTATAGAGCAAGGGTCTATGTTTTAGGACCCACTGAAAAGGGACAGACACAGTGTCCAAGCAGTTGCTCTTTCAGCAGAGCTATTTCTGTCCTGTTTTCCAGAGTTTTCACAGTTATAATGAAAAAAACAACAACAACAAAACAGAGTTTTCATATTAATCCCTCTCTCTTTCTTTTTGGTATTTCTGATCTTTGAAATAGCATAGTGAGAAATAACAGCAGCATGAAATTAATGAATGCAAATTTGGGCCCTCAGTAAGAATGTACCCTGTACAAACCTGGGTGGTGGTAGTAGAGAGTAGCAGTTAGGGAATGTTCTGGTCTAGAGCAGGATTGGAGGGAAAACATAGAAGGGGTTTTGACTTACCCTTGGGATTGATATAGCCCACAGTCTCTCAGGATGCTAGAGAATCTGGATGTGTACTCTCCCACAGCGACTTGGTAAGAATACCTGGTCATGGCAGAGTGACTAGCCTAGTACAGGAAGGATGCCAGTGCCAGGTCAGAATGGTCCATGTGTTTAATTCCTCTGTCCACTTTTGTGTATTTTATGCATTAAATGTTTTATGTTTTAAGTATATATTAAATATGTATGTTGGCTCAGAGCCTATAACTTAGGGTGCCAGCCACATATACCAGAGCTGGTGGGTTGGAATTCGGCCCAGGCCTGCCAAACAACAGTGGCAACTACAACCAAAAATTAGCTGGGTGTTGTGGTGGGCGCCTGTAGTGCCAGCTACTTGGGAGACTGAGGCAAGAGATTCGCTTAAGCCAAGAGTTTGAGGTTGCTGTGAGCTCACCAAAAAAAAAAAAAAGTAAATAAATAAATATGTACGTTATGTGTTATATGTATTTTTTTTTATTTTGGTAAAATACATTTTGCATATTGATATACACTTTTTTTCTTTATTAAATTTTTTTGTTTGTTTTTAGACTCTTGGATACTAAATTAATGGCCAGCACGCAACCTTTTAAGGTATTATGTAAGTTTGAACTATCACTGATCAGCTATATTTTGAAAATTTTGAATTACTGCCAAGAGTGTTTGGTTTCTGGTCTATTTAAATGTCATTTCAAATTCATAAAAAAAAAAAAAAGGAAGGGAAAAGAAAGGATAGAGAGAAAAATTAGAAAAAGATCAGAAATTAATATATCAAAATGTGAATAGCAGCTGTCTTTGGGTGGTGGAATTATATATTGTTTCCTTTATTCTTTTTGAATATAAGTTTTTAATATTAAAGTATATAACTTATTTTTGAATAGTTTACACATGCACACAGGGCCTCCTTCATTTTCTTATCTTTATATATTTTGGATATATTTTCTAATCAAGAAAATTCAAGTAAAGGGATAATCATTTGCCACTTTGTGAAGTGACTTTATATAACTGAGTGAAGTGAAAGCTGAAACATCAGTACAGCCTTCTGGCAAAAGATCTGCAGGTATTTAATGTGTCTATAAAAATCTTTAATTTGGTTATCCTTTCCATATAGTGAAAATTAAACTTGCTACTTCTTTTTCACATTGAATAAATAATGTTGTCTGTATGTCTGTGTTTCTTTAAAGAAAGAAACGGGGATGTACTAGAATTTTGTTGTTGTTGTTCAGTCCGTGAATCTCTTTATTATGCACATATGTGTTGCACAGACATGATGAAGTCTCATAATTCTCTGCTTTCTGGTTTCCAGGATATCATTAACAACACCTCCCTTGCAGAATTGGAAAAGCGGTTAAAAGAGACACCTTTCTGCTCTCCTAAAGTTGGTAAGACTATTTAAAAAAAAACCCAAAACCGCCAAACTCTGTGGTAATTTGAATCTGTCATGTTGTAGAAGAAAGGTGAAATGGCTTTAGAAACCATGTTGCACAGTGAAGGAGAAAGAAGTACTTTGCCTAAATTAACTTGTTTAAGTCCTGGGTTGAATTAATGTTCCTGAATAAAGATGATCTTCCGAGTCTACTTCTATTTTATGTTAATAGTGTTGAGTAGCCATTCCTAATTTGAGCAATTAAAGTTTCAAGGCTTTTATTTCCTGATGCTTGGAATTATTCTAAAACTTGATGTGTCCTTGTTTTCTGTGGTGTTTAAGCAGAGACAAAGAGTTGTTGTTAACTGATTAGTCACTGGGGTGGTGGGGTAGAAAGAAAATATGTTTTCCGTCTTAGAAAAGCCCAAGAACTGGGTTTACAGAAGAGATGAAGGAAAGTCCCCTTCCCAGCCTCTTTCTAAGCTGGTTTACAGAGCAGGAACAGCAGCACTGAGGGAAACCACAAGTCAGGAACAATGTTTCTTGTGGGCTGGAGGTGCTTTACAGAGACCCTGGCTGCTACCCAGGTGTTTGGTGAGCCTTCTGGGTGCTGCTTTCTTGTTCCTGTTATCGTGATTGCGCTGCTGATACTGTAATTAGCATTCCGTTAACTGCAGCCTGGAAAGTTCTAAAGACATTGATAATAGGACTAACAGTTTAGAAACTGATACTGCAAAGTATTAAAGCAGCCTATATTACAGTTATTTGCTTGCTTTTCTGGTTAATAGTTCAGGAGAGGAATTAAGAAAAGGAGTGGTGAGGGGAAGACAACGAAGAAAACCTAGACCTTTTTTATAACAATATAATGGAAATAATTGATTTTGGAAATAATGTATTTCAGCTGGCAATAAGAGTAGAAGATACTACCTTGGTGGCTACCATGTTAAGAAGCCTTTTTTAAAAGTTTCAAGCCCAGGGCAGCACCTGTGGCTCAAAGGAGTAGGGTGCTGGCCCCATATGCTGGAGGTGGCAGGTTCAAACCCAGCTCCCGCCAGAAACTGCAAAAAAAACCCAAAAATACTTTCAAGCCCAATATTTACAAAGGTTAAGGAATTCTTGTTTAAAGAGCGTAGTATTGACATAAAAAGTTATAGCCTTTTCATTGTTAATTTTTGTTCACACTTTTGATTCCATGTTGTAGTAAACTGCTTGACGTTAACTTCCAGAGTGATTCTAGGAAATAATTATATATGGGTTACAGTTCTAGTCTGTTATTTCCATGTAAAATTCTGCTGTCAGGTAGAGAATTTAGTCTATAGCAGATCATTCTTCTCAGACTTTACCTCTCACATCTGTTTATCAGTGTAACAAAAGAATCATGTTATAAATGGTATTTGCCATGAAGTGACTCCATGATCCCAGGGCAGCATCACAGCAAGTTCTGATCGGTTTTTGGAGTTGCAGTGCCTTCTTTAGATTTCTGAGTTTGGAAACATAGTAGTGGACAATACTGAGTTTGAACTATCAGTATTAAATTGAAATCTTTTTCTTTTTCTTGAGATTATTGATAGGTAATAATTTTTGAGCATTTCCCATGAACCCAGCACTAGGTGAGAGCTGTGCTCCAGCATCCATGCTGCATTAATCTTCACTCTGAAATATCTGGTGTGTCCTGCTGTTATCATCATATCTAAGGGGAAGAATTTCCTTTTCATTACCTTAGAAGGCAATCAAAAGAGAAATAAGTGTTGTAGGCTGAGTTATCATGTGTGTGATGGTAAACAGCACTCACCAACATGGGACAAGAAGACCCACAACCGAGGCTCTGGTAATGTAATTGAGACGTTTTTCTGATCTAGACCAAAGCCCTCGTTTTCAATGACTATATTATCTTGTATTATAAGATCTTATCCAGACAGAATTAGAAATCGATAGCTTTTTTCCTGTTTATTTGAGATATATCTGCAGCACAAACTACAGCAGATCCTCAGTAAGTTTACCACCCAAGGATGGTAGCAAGCTGGTCACCACATGGAGGTGGTCAGCGTGAGGAGCTAAGCCCACTATACTGATATATCCGTGTACTTTACTTTCTTATACAACTTTTAATGAGAATATCATACAGAATCATTCATATTCAAAACACAGTAAAATCATACAGTATTATACAAAATCAGTACATTTACTGTTTTCTTGTGATTTAATCATTTTTTTCAAAAAGGGTCAATCTTAGTCTGTTTATTATCCTTATTATAAATGTAAGTGGAGAGGCTCAGTGCCTGTAGCACAGTGGTTATGGTGCCAGACACACACACCAAAGTTGGTGGGTTCAAACCCAGCCCAGGCCAGGTAAAAGAACAATGACAACTGCAACAAAAAATAGCCAGGCATTGTGGTGGAAGGCTGTTGTCCCAGCTACTTGGGAGGCTGAGGCAAGATAATTGCTTAAGCCCTAAAATTTGAGGTTGCTGTGAGCTGTGACGCCACAGCACTGTACCCAGGGCAACAGCTTGAGACTCCGTCTCAAAAAAAAAAAAAAAAAGTGTAAGTGGAGAAAACGTGCTGAACGCTGGCTCCACTCAGCACATTTGGGCATTTTCCATGGCAGATGACTTAAACTGTGTTATCAGATGCTTCATGTGCCTTTCTTCTGGCGTCTCTGCAGTTTCTGTGTCATCCACTTCGTCATAGCTGCTTCACATACTTATGCATTGACTGTACTTAGTTAGTGACGTTTGGAAAGTTGCTTCTGGGTCAGGTTCACAATAGATTGTCACTTCATCATCCACTGCAACAAAACCTTCAAAATGTGCTCCTTCGAATTCTGGCAGATGAATGGTCTGATGGGGCCAAACGCTTCTATATCATTTCTGCCTGAACTTTATTCTAAGCAGACCTGATAAAGGACCACATCTAGAGTGTTAACTGATGGAGCAGATGAAGCTGCTTCCACAGGCAACCACAGGTGTGTGTTTTAGTGATTACCCACTGCAGGAGCTGGACTCATAGTGCATTTTAAATGTTTTGATGAGGCCTTGGTCATGAGGTTGAATTTTTGAGTTCGTGTTTGGAGGCAGAAATTTCAGTGTCATGTTTGTGAGATGACTCACTTGTGGGGGGCCAGGACAGTTGTCTACTGTCAGAAAGGCCTCATTTTCTTCTCACTTTCTCAGTTGAGACCCTTTACCCACTCCTCCAGCAAGGTACCAGTCATCCTGCACGTTAGTTTGATCTTCAAGTGAAGTTCCCAACTTCAAGATTCAGTTTCTTGAATGCATGTGGCTTTGCCAATTTACCAGTCACCAAGGGCTTTAGTTTTTGTCCGGTTGGGCTAGTGCAAAGCAAAACTGTGAAATGTTCTTTGGAAAGTTTTCCACTCTTTTATTTATTTGTCACTGTTCATGATGAGGCTCATGTCAGGCGTAGCCTTACAGGGGTCCTCAAACTTTTTGAACAGGGGACTAGTTCACTGTCCCTCAGACCGTTGGAGGCCGGACTGCGGGCCACAGGATGAGTTGGCTGCTAAGCAGGACAGGCAGCTGCGGCAAAAATACCTGGTGGGCTGGATAAATGTCCTAGGTGGGCTGCATGTGGCCCACAGGCCGTAGTTTGAGGACATAGTTTGCTTTGAAGAAGAGTCCACGCTCATCAGCATTGAAGATGTCTGGCAAAGTCGGGGGACTTTTTGATGAACTCTTCCACAACTTTTACTGGAACTTCATTGGATCCACCACATAAGACTTTCTGGAAGATCTTATGTCACAGTTTAAATTTCTCGAGCCAACAACTTGATGCTTAGAAATCTGTCACCTCAAATTCCTGTGCGGATTTTTTAGTAACTTCTTGAATCATCAGCCTGGAGAGTCAGAAATAATTGCCCTCATTTGTTTGAACCAGCTTAATGTGGCTTCATTGACTTTGTCAAGGGAGGTTTTCCTCCTTTTCTGCAGTAGGTCTCAGCTTTCCTTTCTGTCTTTCCAAGTACTCATGTTTACATTTTTGGTTGTTGCTAACTGTGGTCTTAGTAACACCAAAACATTCTACCATCTGTCTTTGGCTGCTACTTTCCAGAAAAATGTCTATCAACCTTTTCCTTCAATATCAACTCTTCAAGTTCTTTCCATCACATCTTACCCAGATCATCGTATCTTGATGAACTGTAAAATTTTTCTTTTTCTTTTTTTTTT